CTCTCTCTCTCTCTGTTCCTCACAGCTCCCTCTATTTGACATATGTGTACACTGTGCTACATTTCCATTCACCTTCATCTTTCATTCAGATTCTGCAGGAGAGACGCTCTCCTCTCCATTATAAAATCCAACCTGCTAACAGGCCATGTGATTACAGCTGCAATTTATAAATGAGAACTAGAAGCTGATGATGGATACATTGTTTCCCTTTTCTCATATCTAGGTGAAATACATAGCCCTATAGCTTACAAAAGCCTACATTATAGCATACACCCCCAGTCAGCTGTTTCCCCCGGTACTAACTATTGCTTAGACCCTGACCTCTTACGACCCACTAAAAATTTTTTACGGGGGGACAGGGAGTCAGTACCTGCACTAAATACCCTCAGTGAATCTGTCTACTGCAGGCTTTGTCTGTTCCAGACCTTGGTTCATATACTATTTGAAATATTACAATTCATTTGAGAATTCTCTCCACTGTATCTCTCTCTCCACTGTATCTCACTCCCCTGGATCTCTCTCCACTGTATCTCACTCCCCTGGATCTCTCTCCACTGTATATCTCTCCCCATCTCTCTCCACTGCATCTCACTCCCCTGGATCTCTCTCCACTGTATATCTCTCCCCATCTCTCTCCACTGTATATCTCTCCCCATCTCTCTCCACTGTATCTCTCTCTCCACTGTATCTCTCTCTCCACTGTATCTCTCGCTCCACTGTATCTCTCGCTCCACTGTATCTCACTCCCCTGGATCTCTCTCCACTGTATATCTCTCCCCATCTCTCTCTCCACTGTATCTCTCACTCCACTGTAATTCTCTCCACTGTATCTCTCACTCCACTGTATCTCTCTCCACTGTATCTCTCTCGCTCCACTGTATTTATCTCCACTGTATCTCTCTCTCCACTGTATTTGTCTCCACTGTATCTCTCTCCACTGTATCTCACTCCCCTGGATCTCTCCACTGTATCTCTCTCTCTCCACTCTCTCTCTCTCCCCTGGATCTCTCTCTCCACTGTATCTCTCTCCACAGTATCTCTCTCCATGGTATATCTCTCTCCCCATCTTTCTCCGCTGTATCTCTATCCACTGTATCTCTCTCTCCCCACTGCATCTCTCTCCCATCTCTCTCCACTGTATCTCTCTCCACTGTATCTCTCTCCCATCTCTCTCCACTGTATCTCTCTCCACTGTATCCCTCTCCCCATCTCTCTCTCCACTGTATCTCTCTCCCCATCTCTCTACACTGTATCTCTCTCCCCATCTCTCTCCACTGTATCTCTTGCTCCGCTGTATTTCTCTCCACTGTATCTCTCGCTCCACTGTATCTCTCTCCACTCTATCTCACTCCCCTGGATCTCTCCACTGTATATCTCTCTCTCTCCACTGTATCTCTCTCTCCACTGTATCTCACTCCCCTGGATCTCTCTCTCCACTGTATCTCACTCCCCTGGATCTCTCTCCCCTGGATCTCTCTCCACTGTATTTCTCTCCACTGTATATCTCTCCCCATCTCTCTCCACTGTATCTCTCACTCCACTGTATTTCTCTCCACTGTATCTCTCGCTCCACTGTATCTCTCTCCACTGTATCTCTCTCTCTCTCGCTCCACTGTATTTCTCTCCACTGTATCTCTCAATCCACTGTATCTCTCTCCACTGTATTTGTCTCCACTGTATCTCTCTCCACTGTATCTCACTCCCCTGGATCTCTCCACTGTATCTCTCTCTCTCCACTATCTCTCTCTACACTGTATCTCACTCCCCTGGATCTCTCTCTCCACTGTATCTCTCTCCACAGTATCTCTCTCCATGGTATATCTCTCTCCCCATCTTTCTCCACTGTATCTCTATCCACTGTATCTCTCTCTCCCCACTGCATCTCTCTCCCATCTCTCTCCACTGTATCTCTCTCCACTGTATCTCTCTCCCATCTCTCTCCACTGTATCTCTCTCCCCATCTCTCTACACTGTATCTCTCTCCCATCTCTCTCCACTGTATCTCTCGCTCCACTGTATCTCTCTCCACTGTATCTCTCGCTCCACTGTATCTCTCTCCACTGTATCTCTCTCTCGCTCCACTGTATTTCTCTCCACTGTATTTCTCGCTCCACTGTATCTCTCTCCACTGTATCTCACTCCCCTGGATCTCTCCACTGTATATCTCTCTCTCTCCACTGTATCTCTCTCTCCACTGTATCTCACTCCCCTGGATCTCTCTCTCCACTGTATCTCTCTCCATTGTATTTCCCTCCACAGTGTCTCTCTCCACGGTATATCTCTCTCCCCATCTTTCTCCGCTGTATCTCTCTCCACTGTATCTCTCTCCCATCTCTCTCCCATCTCTGTCCACTGTATCTCTCTCCACTGTATCTCTCTCCCATCTCTCTCCCATCTCTCTCTCCCCATCTCTCTCCACTGTATCCCTCTCCCCATCTCTCTCTCCACTGTATCTCTCTCCCCATCTCTCTACACTGTATCTCTCTCCCCATCTCCCTCCACTGTATCTCTCTCCCTATCTCTCTCAACTGGATCTCTCCATGGTATCTCTCTCTCCCCATATCTCTCCACTGTATCTCTCTCCCCATATCTCTACACTGTATCTCTCTCCCCATATCTCTCCACTGTATATCTCTCACCATCTGTCTCCACTATCTCTCTCCACTGTATCTCTCTCTCCCCATCTCTCTCCACTGTATCTTTATCCACTGTATCTCAATCCCCATCTCTCTCCACTGGATCTCTTTCCATTGTATCTCTCTCCACTGGATCTCTCTCCCCATCTCGCTCCACTATCTCTCGCTCCACTGGATCTCTCGCTCCACTGTATCTGTCTCCACTGTATCTGTCTCTCTCCACTGTATCTCTCTCTCTCCCCATCTCTCTCCACTGTATCTCTCTCTCCACTGTATCTCTCTCACCATCATTCTCCACTGTATCTCTCTCCACTGTATCTCTCTCTCTCTCCACTGTATCTCTCTCTCTCCACTGTATCTCTCTCCACTGTATCTCTCTCACCATCTCTCTCCACTGTATCTCTCACTCCACTGGATCTGTCTCCACTGGATCTGTCTCCCCATCTCTCTCCACTGTATCTCTCTCTCCACTGTATCTCTCTCTCTCCACTGTATCTCTCTCCCATCTCTCTCCACTGTATCTCTCTCTCCCCATCTTTCTCCACTGTATCTCTCTCCACTGTATCTCTCTCTCCCCATCTTTCTCCACTGTATCTCTCTCCCCGTCTCTCTCCACACCTTATCTCTCTCCACTGTATCTCTCTCCCCATCTCTCCACTGTATCTCTCTCCCATCTCTCTCCACTGTATCTCTCTCCCATCTCTCTCCCCATCTCTCCACTGTATCTCTCTCCCATCTCTCTCCACTGTATCTCTCTCCCATCTCTCTCCACTGTATCTCTCTCCCCATCTCTCTCCACTGTATCTCTCTCCCCATCTCTCTCCACTGTATCTCTCTCCACTGTATCTCTCTCCCCATCTCTCTCCACTGTATATCTCTCCCCATCTCTCTCCACTATCTCTCCTCTCTCGTCTCTCCCTCTTTCTCTCTGTCTCAACGCAAACGGCAGAAGCTGAGAATGATGTTGCTGTCAGAGAGAGAATGGGGAGAGAGCGTCGCTGAGAGAGGGAGAGAGAGACTTTTACTGGCATCGCTCGATTCATTCATAAGCGCCCCAATTTCACGCTCATTCAGTTTTTCTGGCAGAGCAAGAACTGTGTTTTAGCACAATCTCCTCTCCTCTCCTCTGCCCCTCAGCTGTCTTATTGTTCTGCTCAGACCTTATCTAGTCATTTCGATAATGTTGAACTGTATGTTTGAGTGACAGTTTTGCAGCATGTCTGTGTCTCCCGTTCTCTATCTGTTGAGATAAGTCTGTGGTGCAGAGTTGCATAAGCCTCCTCAGGGCCGAGTGCAGTTGGTTGGCATTCATCTGTGTGTGTGCCCCCTGGTCATTGATGCAATGTGGTGCTGCTGCCTCAGTGATGGTGCTGCTGCCTTGCTGTGCCTGGGTCTTCCCCTGCTGTGGGAATCCCTGCCTGCCATACAGCCTCCTCTCTGTACCACACACACACACAGCTTCCTGATGACTTCAGAGGAAATGGTGTTAAGCTGAAGAGAACACAGCGTTGTGTGTGTGTGTGTGTGTGTGTGTCTTGCTCTGGGGTGTGTGTGTGTGTGTGTCTTGCTCTGGGGTGTGTGTGTGTTTGCATGTGTTGTCGAGTAGTGAGAGCGCCGCCTGTCCTGAAGGTCTTTGCAGTATACCATCATGTTTTCATTCGCTTGGTGTGTTAAAGAGTGAGCGGGAGAGAGAAACACACTGTCTCTACTCTGTCAGTAGGTTGTGGTAAAGTTTCTGAACGAAAACAAGTAATATTTCAACCCAGGTCTGCAAGTGTTCATTAATGGACTGAATTCATACTTCCACAGCCAGCCCGATAGCTCTGTACTCCCACGCTTTGAGCAGTGAGTCAGCCTGGACCCAGTCAGTGTGTTGTAACGGTTAGTGACGTCATTCTGCCTTCCTCTTATCCCCAGCGGGTCCTGGCTGGAGGAGCTCTCATCAACATGCTGCTGCACTGAGACACACGGACGGATAGATTGACGGACGGACGGACGTACAGACCGATAGACCCCCTCTCTTCCCCGTATCGGCTGTTTCTCCCCCTGCTACCTCCCCCCCTGTACTGAACTTGCTATGGAATGCCCTCACCCAGCGGACCGGCACAGTCCTCCTCTATAGGGCCCTCTCCTGGGAACACACTCCATAAGGAATCAGCACAGAACAGCTGATCTCCTCCTCAGGTACAGTTCACTGTATACATTAACTACATTATCGGTATCTCTCGACTCCCATGTTTAGGGTCTTTAGCCCTAGTCAAAACCTGAACCTGTACGGCCTTGAACCTCGCTTTTTCTTTCTCCCTCTCCCTCCCCTGCAGCAGTCTCTGAGTCCTCCTACCCTACAACCCCTCCCCTGAGAAGATGTCTGTGCGCCTGGCTGGGGAGGACATCCAGACGGAGGGTGATAGTGGAAGTAGTGGACTGCTCAATGATGACTCTGTCAACGGAGGGAAGCTCTCCCCATCCCCTGAGCCTTGCCAGGGGCAGGAGGGCACTGGGGCTGGGGGCACCGGAGAGGGCACGGAGGGCACTGGGACTGGGAGCACCGGAGAGGGCACGGAGGCAGAGGAGAGCGCCACACAGGACTCACAGGTAACTGACCTCCACGGGACTTTGGTTGCGTCCCAATAATCTCTCCTTTCACCCGAATTGAGGACTTGTTCACTTCCCTTCATGGATTTTAAATGGAAATGACTGGTGTTTGGGACCTCCCTAGTCCACGCCAACACCAATCCAATGCTTTTACATTGGTGGGGGGTAGTGAACGAGTACACACTTCAGGAGGAAGGAGAGATTATTGGGACGCACCCTTTTGCCTCCTCTGCACTGCACTTCTAGGGTTGCAATTTCCAGAAAAGCTTTTTAAGGAATAACCTACTACGCTACAGAATAAAATGTCTGTGAATTTACAACATATTCAGACATTTATATTGTAATGACAAAGTATATATATTTTTCTGACGTGCTCAAAATAAACAGTGAGACGTCTTTTTCAGCTCTGAACCTCCTCTCCCATCTTGCATTGCACAGTTGCTTACGGCCACGATGCGCATGCACTGCAAGCCTGTGAACGGAGTGTAGTGGGGATGGGTTGGCAGAGTTGGATGATGTTATGGTTGAGACAAATTGCCCCTTTTAGTGAATTACTGTCATTGACACTATAGTGTTGAGCGATAAGTGCTTTGAGTTCGGTTTCGGTTCGATTATTACAAAATCACGGTTTTCGATTATTATTATTTTTTAAATGCATTATATATATTTTATAGCTTCCTTCAGCCATCGCCTGCCTTTTTCCTGACACTGACAGTGGGTTGAATGCTGTAACAACACAGAATAAAACAATAAATAAGAGGTCAATGATGGCTGTGAATGCCCATTACGGCTCATCACTTATTAACCGTAATGTATTCACATTACTTAAATAACTTTGATAAAATATTTCAGTTGTGTATATTACTTATTTTTTATTTGATTACTTTTATTATTTTTCATACCTTTTCATACCTTCAAGCAGTAGTAGCCAGCCAGCCGGACAACCATCTAAAGTTCTCTGTGCTCCCCATTGAACGAGTCATCCTATTTAGCTAGGCTTCAAAGTAAATAAGGCATACTTTCAAGACTGCTTATTACTAACTACTACAACTATCAACCGGGTAGAGCTACCTCACCAACTGGCTATATCCCCCTCGTTGTTGTGTGGTCATTCCTCTCTCATGCGGTCTCATATGGTGTGTATCCACCTCTGTCCGTGGCCCGGAAAGAATGGGCGCAATGGATTATGGTCATTGTAGTTCATTACCACGTTTCTGCGCTAAAACTAGGTTGAATAGTTGCCTAATGAAAACTACAACTTCCAATCAGCCCACCGTCCCACATAGTTCTTGACTTATGCCGCGTTCAAATACTTGTCGGAACTAGGAAACTCTAACATTTCCGATGTGCTAACTGGTTGTAGCTATACAAGCATTAAGCAAGTCAGAAATGTCAGAGTTCCGACTAGCTTTGATTTCTCCTTAGAGAAATGGCACTTTGAGCTCACAAAAAAAAAACGAAATGGGTTCGAGGAATTTAATCGACGTCGGTCAGCTAGTTTAATAACCTAAACAAACGTTTTTCGCTTAGCACTATACACATTTTATAAGCAAATTGCATGTTCTCTTCGTGCCTTGCTTGAATATTGAATTTGAAGCAGGGTTATCTATCTAGCTAGATTCACTGTAGTTAGCTGCTTCTAGTCCAAGCTACCTGCTTCGGCTGGTTGGCTAGCTAGCGACGTTGCTGTTACCAGTCAAGTGCTTCAAACTAGTTAGCTAGCAAGTTGGACTGCATAACAACATATTACATGACATATCGTCGTCGTTGGCCTGCAAGAGTAGCTAGCTTTGTTTCTGCTTGCTCAATGCAGGCAGCTGACGAGTAGTGCTGGCTTGTGCCAGCTAGCGGCATAGCCAGCCATGGTTAGCTAGCCACATGGTCCAGCCGAAGGTAGCTAGCAAGCTAGCAGGTAGCTAGCTAGTTTGTTGAAACTATGAAATATAGCTAGCTATGCTTCTAGCATCGAACTAATTACACATGATCTACATCTTAACAGGTTTCAGTAGACATTTCATGTGTAGGCGGGTTGAATGAGTGCAGCTGCTGCTGGCTACTGTAGCTACTATATTCATCATGATTTCTAATGACATGACTCAGTTGTTACTTAGTCGTTAAATCGGTTTGTTCAAGATTTAGACGCCTGAAAGGAAGGTTAGATAGCTACTATCCAACCACAGTCTAGGCTGACAACAGCTGGACAGTGGCCCTGCCCAGAGGGTTTTGAGTAGAAAGGATACAGATTTTGTCAGCAGGTTGGGAGAATTAGGGAAAGGTTAGGAAAAGGGTTAGCTCAAATGCCAAAATAAATAGACTTTTGGCGTAAATTTGACAAAAGCTGTATTCTTTCTAGCCATGACCTGCCCAGAGAGAGATTTCAAGTTGTAATGTCACATGCACAAGTACAGTGAAATGCCTTTCTTGCAAACTCAAAACCCAACAATGCAATAATCAATAACAATGTATTACTGGAAACCCCCTCACAAGAAAGAAGAATAGTAAATATGAAATACACATTTAATTAAGTAAGCATACTATATACAGAAATATTTAAAGAGTCAGATCCAATACCATATTTACATGTTCAGGGACACTGGAGTGATTGAGGTAGATATGTATAGGGGTAAGGTGACTATATACAGGGTCGGTTCAATACCATATTTACATGTGCAGGGATACTGGAGTGATGGAGGTAGATATGTATAGGGGTAAGGGAGCTAGGCCACAGGATATAAGATAAACAGAGTAGCAGCAGCTTGCATGTGAGTGGGTGTGCGGGTGTGTAGAGTCAGTATAAATGTATGTGCTACTCTGAGCAAATGATGGAGTGTGTGTTGGAGTGACAGTGTGTGTGAGTGTGTAGGGCCCTGTGAGTGTGCATAGAGACACTGCAAATATTGAAATAAAAGGTCAATAAAGATACAAGGTTAACTCAGATAGTCCATGTAGCTATTTTGTTAGCTATTTATCAGTCTTATTGCTTGGGGATAGAAGCTGTTCAAGAGCCTGTTGGTGTCAGACTTGATGCACCGGGTACCGGTTGCCGTGCGGAAGCAGAGAGAATAGTCTATGGCTTGGGTGGTTGGAGTCTTTGACGATTCTCCGGGCCTTCTTTTCACACCGCCTGATATAGATGTCCTGGATGGCAGGGAGCTCGGCCCCAGTGATGTACTGGGCTGTCCGCACCACCCTCTGTAGCGTCATGCGATCGAGGGTGGTGCTATTGCCATACCAAGCATCGATGCAGGCCAGTCAATATGCTCTCAGTGGTACAGCTGTATAACCTTTTCAGGATTAGAGGGCCCATGCCAAACCTTTTCAATCTCCTGTGGGGGAAGAGGCCCTGTCGCGCCTGTTTCACGACTGTGCATTGCATTGTGGGTTTGTAGTCAACTACAGTATAGGAAGTGGAATAGTCTCTGTTTCCACAGCACCCACAGTTTCTCCCTATATTAACAACGAAATGAAACATTTGTTCACTAAAATATGGTTTTCCACATATTTATTTAAAATGGTAAATTGTAAATAGTTTTGAGTGTAGCTAGTATTCCTAGTATTACCAAATGTTCTCCCCTTGCAGAGGCGTGTTCAGAACCACGGCCATGGGAGGAAAAGGGCCAGGGTAAGGATGGTATTATCCTGTCTGTTGTGTTGATGTTGTTGTGTAAGTTTCCATATCATGATCCTAATCCTGGGATTAAAGTCCACCCGTTAGATAAAGGGTCATACTGGCAGTACTAGACCCAGAGTTCGCTAATCCTAGTGAGTAGGTTAGATAGACCAGGAAAAGTCTCAGAGGTGAGGCCTGCTCACACACAACCTATTACCTAGTGGATTTATGGAAGTCAGCTTTCGTGGTAATGGGACAATGCGTGTTCTCTTCCCTCACATCATTTTTTGGGGTTCACACACACGCGCACGCACGCACACACACACACCACCCTCTCTGTGCATCTGGGTTAGGTCTTTGCAGCAAACCCCGTCTCCCTCTCTGTCTGTTTGTGATGACCTCATTTCTAGTGTAGGCTACATCTACTCTTACACTAGATAGGGACAATGCCAAGTGGGTTAGTCCCCTCCACCAAGTGGGTTAGTCCCCTCCACCAAGTGAAATTCCCCTCCACCAAGTGAAATTCATTATGAAGTCTACACATGTTGAATTTTTAAAAAATGTTTACTTTAACTTATCTCAAACCAATTAACTTGTAGCCTCTTTCCACCATGACCTCATGTATTGTAAAATGGTGCTCGTATTTGACCAGCTATTTCTTAGAAGTAGGACCAGAGTTATATAGCCTAGGTTCTTCAATGTGGTGTGTGTGTGTCTGGGTTTAAATATTCTAGGTTTTTACTTAGTTGCTTGCTTCGATGTGGTGTGTGTCTCTGTGTGTGTCTCTGTGTGTTTCAGTCTAATGCCAAGCTAAAGCTCTTCATATGCATGATGCATGCAGATTGTATTTTCTCACGTCAGTTAACTTTTAAGCTTCTTTACTCTATTTTTAACGTTTGTTGTCAAATATTGATAGTGTGCAATGAGTTTGATCTGTTATCGATTGACCGAAGAGCTATAAGTTACTCCACTGTGTTTGTGTGTGTGTCTGTGTCTCACTAACCTATGTGTGTAGTCCGCTGCTTCACTGTGGTGTGTGTGTGTGTGTGTGTGTGTGTTTCAGTCCAATGCCAAACTGAAGCTGGTGAGGAGCCTGGCGGTGTGTGAGGAGTCATCGGGTCCGTTCTGTACCGACGGACCTCCAGACATTATCCAGCTCCACGTCAGCTGTCCCTCCGACAAGGAGGAGGAGAAGTCGTCCAAGGATCAGCGTGAGAATGAGAACAAGCGTAAGATGCTGTCACGAGGTAAGATGTCTCTGGGGAAAAAATGCTAAAGAGGATTCATTAGAGTAGCAGAGAGGGGCAGACGCAGCTGAAAACGGACAGATGTCTGCATCATGGTGTGTGTCAGTAACAGTTGAAAACGATCCTCCTTTCATATTTGTTCAGAAACAACACAGCCTTTCTGCTGCTGACGAAAAAAGTTGAAATGAAAACTATCCTTCACAAGTGTGTGTTCAGATACAACACACACCCTCTCTGACCCCTATGACCGACGCTGTGTGTGTGTGTGTGTGGATGCTCCTGAGTGCATGCCTGTGTTTTGCAGATTGTGTGTGTGGTGTCATTTTTGGAGCTATGTTAAGCATCCTGTCTTCTGTCTCTGCTTTCCGCCAGACTCTAGCCAGGAGTACACAGACTCCACCGGCATCGACGTGCACGACTTCCTGGTCAACACACTGAAAAACAATCCTAGGTAATACACACACTGAAAAACAACCCCAGGTAATACACACACACTGAAAAACAACCCCAGGTAATATACACACACTGAAAAACAACCCCAGGTAATATACATATATGTGGTCCTCTGTAGGGAGAGATATGTGGTCCTCTGTAGCTCCTCTGTAGCTCAGCTGGTAGAGCACGGCGCTTGTAACGCCAAGGTAGTGGGTTCGATCCCCGGGACCACCCATACACAAAAAAATGTATGCACGCGTGACTGTGAGTCGCTTTGGATAAAAGCGTCTGCTAAATGGCATATTATTATTATATTATTATACACACACTGAAAAACAACCCCAGGTAATATACACACACTGAAAAACAACCCCAGGTAATACACACACACTGAAAAACAACCCCAGGTATGGCAGTGGAGCCTTATCGATATCCTATCACAGCAACAGCACTCAACGGCATCTAGATGTAGTCTGGCCATCTGAGCCTGTGGGTCCCTCCAGTAATGGAAATGGATTGAGAAACTCTAAGGGCAGAATCTTAACTTTAGATGCGCATCGGGATTCATCTTTTTGTACACATTTCTCATTTAGCTACATCAATGCATGATTGACATGGTAGTCCATGCTAAGCACAAATATTTCAAGTTAGGATTGGGCTCTAAGCTAATTTAACTAGCTACCCTAACCCTGTGGTGGTCTGGACTGTGTACATTAGCTGCCAATCCTCTCTGTGAGGACGGATTGGGAAAGTATTCACTGGTGAATGGAGCCTATGATCTTTAGTATGAGCAGTTGGCACTCCGATTGCACTCTGTCCTCACACAGTCTCTCTCTCATCCCCCCCCCCCCCCCCCCCCCCCCCCCCCCCTCCTCTCTATCACTATCTCTCTCTCTCCCCCCCTCCTCTCTCTATTTCTCTCCCTCCTCTCTCTCTCCCCCTCCTCTCTCTATTTCTCTCCCTCCTCTCTCTTTCTCTCCCTCCTCTCTCTATTTCTCTGTCTCCAACAGGGATCGAATGATGCTGCTGAAACTAGAACAAGATATCCTGGAGTTCATTAATGACGATAAGTGAGTGAGAAATTGCACCCTATTCCCTATATAGTGCACTACTTTTGATCAGGCTCTAGTCAAAAGTAGTGCCCTATATAGGGAATAGGGTGCCATTTGGGACGTATCCACATTCTGTACTGCTACTTTACTCCGGTATATCATTTATATAATTGTAACTTTCTATGTCCTTCACAGTATATTTATAGATAGCCGATTGTAATGGGATAAATATGGGGATTGTACTGTAGTTGGTATATCAGTATGGTATATTTGGCTGCCTGGGACTCTGTCCACCTGTCGATGGGATGGTATCATTACTCTCATCTGAAGTTTATTTTGTTGTATTTCAAATGTAAATCAGTCCCGTCTCTTAACAGTTTCATCTTGTTTTAGAAAAGGGTAATAGTCCACATCTAAGAAAGATGTGCAGAGACACTGTACTACCACTCAAGTATCATCACTAGACTGACACATTGGTTAATCTCCATGTTCTCCCCTCCAGGAACCAGTACATGTTGTTTAGTCTCCATGTTTTACCATCCAGTAACCAGTACATGTTGTTTAATCTCCATGTTCTTCCCTCCAGTAACCAGTACATGATGGTTAATCTCCACCTTCTCCCCTCCAGTAACCAGTACATGATTGTTAATCTCCACATTCTCCCCTCCAGTAACCAGTACATGTTGTTTAGTCTCCATGTTCTCCCCTCCAGTAACCAGTACATGTTGTTTAGTCTCCATGTTCTCCCCCCCAGTAACCAGTACATGATGGTTAATCTCCACGTTCTCCCCTCCAGTAACCAGTACATGTTGTTTAGTCTCCATGTTCTCCCCCCCAGTAACCAGTACATGTTGTTTAGTCTCCACGTTCTCCCCTCCAGTAACCAGTACATGTTGTTTAGTCTCCATGTTCTCCCCTCCAGTAACCAGTACATGATGGTTAATCTCCACGTTCTCCCCTCCAGTAACCAGTACAAGTTGTTTAGTCTCCATGTTCTCCCCTCCAGTAACCAGTACATGTTGTTTAGTCTCCACATTCTCCCCTCCAGTAACCAGTACATGTTGTTTAGTCTCCATGTTCTCCCCTCCAGTAACCAGTACATGTTGTTTAGTCTCCATGTTCTCCCCTCCAGTAACCAGTACATGATGGTTAATCTCCACGTTCTCCCCTCCAGTAACCAGTACAAGAAGTTTCCCCAGATGACGTCGTACCACCGCATGCTGCTTCACCGTGTAGCAGCCTACTTTGGAATGGACCACAACGTAGACCAGACTGGCAAGGCAGTCATCATCAACAAGACTGGCAACACACGCATGTGAGTGGGAGACTGGTATAACTTAGAAGGCAATGAAACACGTTTTCAACAGTAGAACTTCCATTGCCCTACCTAGTGTTGCACGGTACACCGGTACCACAGTAATATCATGGTACCAAAACGTCATGATACTTATGATACCGACAAATTAGAATACCGTAGCACCGTTTCATATGATACTACCAAATTGTTCAGGCCTATCGATCCAAAGAGCCTAATGTAAGCCTAAACTATACCAAACATCTATTTCTGCTGCTCCTTACATTGTCTTTGGTGCTTAACGTTTTAAAAGTTGGGAGCAGTGTGTGTGTGTGTGTGTGTGTGTGTGGTAGGCCTTTGCAAATATGAGCAAATCAGCCATTCTATGCAGTATTCTATTATACACTGAACCGTGTGAAGTTAAATTCAATGTGTTGTATTGAGTAGAAGTGTGAATTTCAGTAACAGGTTTTTGCGTAGCACATGCGCAGAACATTTTAGAAAACGGGAACAAGCATCCAGGGGATGGGGCGAACAGGACGCTAGGCAACACATTCCCAAACCCCCCCCCGGTATCGCGATACTACTTGGTATCGTGATACTTGGCCTGGTATCGTATCGTTAGTAAAATGTTGGTATCGTGACAACACTAGTCCTACCAAGAGTTTCTGAATTGGTTTCGTCTTCAGCCCAGAGCAAAAGTTCTCAGAGCACATCAAGGATGAGAGGAACATGGACTTCCAGAAGAAGTTTATCCTCAAGAGAGACGACGCCAGTATGGACAAGGACGATAATCAGGTGATTAGTCACTTTCTTTTATTCTTCACTGTTGCTTTTTATTACTTAAATACTTAACAGTTAATATAAGTTAATTACACTTAAGTGTAATAATTAAATACTTAACAGTTCTGATTAGCACAGATTCTTCATACATGTTATCTATAGCTGTCTTTAGCGTTGTAGGTCTTTGTAGAACACGAGGATACGATTATATGAGAAGGCTGAATATAATTTATCCTGTTGACTATTATCTGAGTATTAATAACGGGCCATTGTTGTATAAATCTCTCGCGCAATATTTTAATTTACACGTCTTCTTCGTGAGAAGATGCTCTGAATAGTATTCGGTGAATACCACTTCTGTCCAATGATGTTGCTGATCGTTATCCCTTCTTCCTCTTGTCCAATCGCAGATCCGCGTGCCGCTGTCGGACGGACGGCGCAGCAAATCAATAGAGGAGAGGGAGGAGGAGTATCAGAGAGTACGAGACCGGATCTTTGCCCGAGAAGTAAGTGGTGGAGGATAGGAGTTGCCCTTAGGCACAGATCTAGGATCAGTTTACCCTCACCAAATCCTAACATTAAGCGTTGTGGGTGTAACATACACAACTGACCTAAGTTCAGTGTCTAAGGGCAACTCCGGTCAGGCTCAACAGTGAGGACGGGGATGTACAGTTGTACTTAACTTGTCTTCCACTGTCTGTTCTACTAACCATTCCTCCTCCTGTCTGTTCTGCTAACCATTCCTCTTCCTGTCTGTTCTGCTAACCATTCCTCCTCCTGTCTGTTCTACTAACCATTCCTCCTCCTGTCTGTTCTGCTAACCATTCCTCCCACTGTTTTAACCAAAAGTTAATTTTAATAACATAATGGTGGAATAGCATAAGAAGGCAGAGGTAATAAAGTGAAGTCCATATTCTTGGAGGTCATGAGTGAACTTTGGTTAACTTTGGCTAATACAGTACTTGACAAAATATGACACGAGTCAGTGTTCACTGTCCAGGCAGTTATCGTAAATGAGAATATGTTCTCAATAATCTACTTGGTCAAATGAAAGCTATTAAATAAATGTAGGATCGACAAGCTACAGCTGCTAATTTCCAGGTGTCTTTTCCTTTTCAGGCCTCTCAAAATGGATACATCAACGACAACAGGTGAGCTCAAGTAGCACACGCTAACAGTACGCGTCACAGTCGAGAGCTTCACGTGTGACCTTGTAAAGGGGACCATAGAGTACGGAGTTAGTCCCCAGCCAGTGTAGTCCCTTAGGTGGGTAGGAGAGGCAGTCGGGGCGGCCTGGTCACAGCAAGGCCCCCTAACCCTGTTCCAAACCCTCTGGCACCATCAAATTAGGCCACTGAGTTATATTGAGGTGTTTTTCAAGAGATCTAATAATGGCAATATAATAATTCTGGCAATATATCATACGTTTCAAGCACCAGGGTTAGGGTTTGCGGAGTTTGAATGTGGGGTGAACTGAGAATAGTTTTCCACATGTAGTCCAAAGCACAACAAAAGTACATCTTTCAACCGCCCTCCCTTTCTGATAGAGATGAACGGTTATTAAACAGATGTGTTGAGATGCTAAAAGAAGTAGAGGAACCTTTGTTCCTTGTTTTATACTGCGTGTGCATGATCTTTTCTGGGCTGGGGGTTGGATACAGTGCAACACTGTTACAGCTGGTCCCAAATCGCTCCCTGTCCCCCCTCAGTGTTGGCGTGTCTGAAGGTCTGGACAGGTTTAAGCTGTGTAGTGGTAAAGCTTTCACCATATTGCTTCCATCTTCCAGATCTGCAAACATTGAAGGGTAAGGGCCAAGGGGAGGGGTAGGGAATGAATTGGGAATGTCTGATCCAAAACCTACCTGGCCCCCTCTCCTATACCCACCCAGTAACCCCCGGCCTCCCTTCTCTCCCTCCACTGTCCCCCAACAGACTTTCCCCTGAAGGCTACTCCTCTAGCTCTCAAAAGAGGAGGCAGATCTTTAGGTACTGACCACATCCGGGTGACGTGTGACTCTAGCAGTCTGTGATTGTGTTGCCATGTCCTTCTACCCTCTATCTAGTGGTGATTTGATATGACTGACTGACTGGCTGTGTCTGAAATGGCACCTTGTGCCCTACGTAGTGCATTTAGGGGATTGGGTGCCATTTCAGACGTAGCCAGTGAATGTGGGTGTTCTTGCTTGGCGTGGGTTCTGTGGGTTGGCTCAGTGGCACTGTGAGGTCCAACACTTATTGCATGGCTGCTTTGTGGTTCTTCTGGGACTGGTTACAACTTATTATCCGCCGTCTTCATCTCTGTTTCTGTTGATTTGGTGGTTGTTGATCTGGTTTTGTAACCCCGTCTTCATCTCTGTTTCTGTTGATTTTGGTGGTTGTTGATCTGGTTTTGTAACCCCGTCTTCATCTCTGTTTCTGTTGATTTTGGTGGTTGTTGATCTGGTTTTGTAACCCCGTCTTCATCTCTGTTTCTGTTGATTTGGTGGTTGTTGATCTGGTTTTGTAACCCCGTCTTCATCTCTGTTGATTTTGGTGGTTGTTGATCTGGTTTTGTAACCCCGTCTTCATCTCTGTTTCTGTTGATTTGGTGGTTGTTGATCTGGTTTTGTAACCCCGTCTTCATCTCTGTTTCTGTTGATTTGGTGGTTGTTGATCTGGTTTTGTAACCCCGTCTTCATCTCTGTTTCTGTTGATTTGGTGGTTGTTGATCTGGTTTTGTAACCCCGTCTTCATCTCTGTTTCTGTTGATTTGGTGGTTGTTGATCTGGTTTTGTAACCCCGTCTTCATCTCTGTTTCTGTTGATTTGGTGGTTGTTGATCTGGTTTTGTAACCCCGTCTTCATCTCTGTTTCTGTTGATTTGGTGGTTGTTGATCTGGTTTTGTAACCCAGTCTTCATCTCTGTTTCTGTTGATTTGGTGGTTGTTGATCTGGTTTTGTAACCCCGTCTTCATCTCTGTTTCTGTTGATTTGGTGGTTGTTGATCTGGTTTTGTAACTCCGTCTTCATCTCTGTTTCTGTTGATTTGGTGGTTGTTGATCTGGTTTTGTAACCCCGTCTTCATCTCTGTTTCTGTTGATTTGGTGGTTGTTGATCTGGTTTTGTAACCCCGTCTTCATCTCTGTTTCTGTTGATTTGGTGGTTGTTGATCTGGTTTTGTAACCCCGTCTTCATCTCTGTTTCTGTTGATTTGGTGGTTGTTGATCTGGTTTTGTAACCCCGTCTTCATCTCTGTTTCTGTTGATTTGGTGGTTGTTGATCTGGTTTTGTAACCCCGTCTTCATCTTTGCTCTACTACTTGTACAGTAGCTGTGTCTCTATTACTACTGTCTGTGGTATCCTGAGGATAGATCTACTACTACTGTCTTGGATCCTGAAGATAGATCTACTACCCCTGTCTGTGGTATCCTGAAGATATATCTACTACTACTGTCTGTGATATCCGGAGGATAGATCTACTACTACTGTCTGGTATCCTGAAGATAGATCTATTACTACTGTCTGTGGTATCCTGAAGATAGATCTACTACCCCTGTCTGTGGTATCCTGAAGATAGATCTATTACTACTGTCTGTGATATCCTGAGGATAGATCTACTACTACTGTCTGGTATCCTGAAGATAGATCTATTACTACTGTCTGTGGTATCCTGAAGATAGATCTACTACCCCTGTCTGTGGTATCCTGAAGATAGATCTATTACTACTGTCTGTGGTATCCTGAAGATCGATCTATTACTACTGTCTGTGGTATCCTGAAGATAGATATACTACTCCTGTCTGTGGTATCCTGAAGATAGATCTACTACTACTGTCTGTGGTATCCTGAAGATAGATCTACTACTACTGTATGGTATCCTGAAGATAGATCTACTACTACTGTCTGTCCTAAAGAGATTTGCAGTAATACTGCCATCAGATCTCTCTCTCTCTGTGTTGGTTGTGATCAGTGATTCTGTTTGTACTGCAGCAGTGAAACATACAAACTGAAATGTCTTTAGCCGACTGACCTCATTAATGTTGAAAAGAGGGATTTGGGGTAGGTTTTCAGAGTTCCAATAGTTCAATAGGCCAGCGTTTGAATTGCATAATTATGTATCACTAAAGTGAGAGAACTGTCCCTTTTGCCTTGCATATTTTTTTTCAATGTTGACTAAGTGCATATCCTACATCGTGTTTGGAGATTATGATTCATAGAGAATTCAGTATTCAAGCTACACTCCTCTGACAATGTTTACAATGTCATATATACAGTAGAAACATATAGCTATTATTTACATCATTATTTATTGCGCATTATTGTATTTTGTGGGGGGAAATGCTAATGAAATCTAAAGCGCAACATTTTGGGGGGAAAATAACTGTGACAGAACAGCTCCCCCTGTGTTGGATGGAGAGAGTGTTTGGAACAGGAGAGAAAGAATGTTGTGATGTAAATGCAGGATCCCTCCTGTCTGTCTCTCTCTCTTTCTCTCTCATCTTCGTCTGCACAGTGTGAGCGAGCTACCACCCTGCCTTTCTTTCCTTAAAATAGGCGGTGGAAGCTGGGAGACAGGGAGGCGGGAGAGATGAATAGGAGGAAGGCAGGGAGAGGTGGGGAGAGAGGGACGGGGAGAGGTGGGGAGAGAGGGGCGGGAAGGGGGGGAGAGATAGGGACGGGGAGAGGTGGGGAGAGAGGACGGGGAGAGGGTGGGGGGGAGAGGGCGTGGAGAGGTGGGGGGGGGAAAGGGACGGGAGAGGTGGGGGGGGAAAGGGACGGGGGGGAAGAGGGGGAGGGAAGGGGAGAGGGGGGGGAGAGAGGGGAGGGGAGAGGGGGGGAGAGGGGGGGAGAGTGGGGAGAAGTGACGGGGAGAGGGGGGGGAGAGAGGGGTGGGGAGAGGTGGGGGAGAGAGGGGGGGGGAGAGAGGGAGGGGAGAGGGGGGGGGAGAGAGGGAGGGGAGAGGTGGAGAGAGAGGGACGGGGAGAGGTGGGGGGAGAGAGGGAGGGGAGAGGGGGGGGAGAGAGGGACGGGGAGAGGTGGGGAGAGAGGGACGGGGAGAGGTGGGGGGAGAGAGGGACGGGGAGAGGTGGGGGGGAGGAGAGAGGGACGGGGAGAGGTGGGGAGAGAGAGGGACGGGGAGAGTGGGGGGGAGAGAGGGAGGGGAGAGGTGGGGGGAGAGAGGGACGGGGAGAGGTGTGGGAGGAGAGGGACGGGGGAGAGGTTGGGAGAGAGGGACGGGGAGAGGGTGGGGAGAGAGGGACGGGGAGAGGTGGGGGGAGAGAGGGACGGGGAGAGGTGGGGGGAAAGGGACGGGGAGAGGTGGGGAGAGGGACGGGAAGCAAGGAGAGGAAAAAAGGAGAGACTGAGAGAGAGAGGCAGGGAGAACGCTTAAAATAGCTCATCCATTAATTACTGTTTCTCTGAAATATTTATGAACCACTGCCACCTTCAAACACATTTACACCACCAATCATTTCTACCTTTTGCCTCCTTATATCTGATATTATAAGGAGATTCCCTGGCCTGTTTTGGTTCTTTTTCAATCTTCTGTCCTAGGCTACCTCAGTAATTTATCTGAATATCTAAAACAGACGAGTTTAGCTGACTTGGCCATTTTGGGTGCCTGTGTTGTCTTTCAGTGGTGTAGTTCGTTATTGGGGCATGGTTATTCCCATCAAATGGGGAACCAGAGTATTCTACAGTCGGAGCACCCCACTGTAATTCACTTGAGTTGTATTTTCCCTTGTTAGTCAGAAATCCAAGCATTTGTTGTCATCATTTTAGGTGATAAATCTGAATATTCTAACACTCTGTCACCACATTACCCTGCCAAACCTGCATTTGTCACACTTTTTGTTCAGTGCAATGCAATATCATCCATATTTGATGATAAATTAAAAATAAATACAAATAAGCCTTAGGATGTAAGCGTTGTGACAGTGAGCGATCATGGTGTAGTGTTGTAGGTCATGACAAGTTGATAGCCTCCTACTCATTGCTAGAGACGTTCTAATAATGGTGATATGAATCTTCATGGCAGCGGCTTTTACTCAGCCTTCTGCTACTGTCACCCAATGGGAAGAAAGCTGTGTGTAACTCCATAGTTACGGTATGAGGGGGATATGTGTAGAAAGCTGTGTGTAACTCCATAGTTACGGTATGAGGGGGATATGTGTAGAAAGCTGTGTAACTCCATAGTTACGGTATGAGGGGGATATGTGTAGAAAGCTGTGTGTAACTCCATAGTTACGGTATGAGGGAGATATGTGTAGAAAGCTATGTGTAACTCCATAGTTACGGTATGAGGGGGATATGTGTAGAAAGCTGTGTGTAACTCCATAGTTACGGTATGAGGGGGATATGTGTAGAAAGCTGTGTAACTCCATAGTTACGGTATGAGGGGGATATGTGTAGAAAGCTGTGTGTAACTCCATAGTTACGGTATGAGGGGGATATGTGTAGAAAAACTGTGTAACTCCATAGTTACGGTATGAGGGGGATATGTGTAGAAAGCTGTGTGTAACTCCATAGTTACGGTATGAGGGGGATATGTGTAGAAAGCTGTGTAACTCCATAGTTACGGTATGAGGGGGATATGTGTAGAAAGCTGTGTAACTCCATAGTTACGGTATGAGGGGGATATGTGTAGAAAGCTGTGTGTAACTCCATAGTTACGGTATGAGGGGGATATGTGTAGAAAGCTGTGTAACTCCATAGTTACGGTATGAGGGGGATATGTGTAGAAAGCTGTGTGTAACTCCATAGTTACGGTATGAGGGGGATATGTGTAGAAAGCTGTGTGTAACTCCATAGTTACGGTATGAGGGGGGATATGTGTAGAAAGCTGTGTGTAACTCCATAGTTACGGTATGAGGGGGATATGTGTAGAAAGCTGTGTAACTCCATAGTTACGGTATGAGGGGGATATGTGTAGAAAGCTGTGTGTAACTCCATAGTTACGATATGAGGGGGATATGTGTAGAAAGCTGTGTAACTCCATAGTTACGGTATGAGGGGGATATGTGTAGAAAGCTGTGTAACTCCATAGTTACGGTATGAGGGGGATATGTGTAGAAAGCTGTGTAACTCCATAGTTACGGTATGAGGGGGATATGTGTAGAAAGCTGTGTAACTCCATAGTTACGGTATGAGGGGGATATGTGTAGAAAGCTGTGTAACTCCATAGTTGCGGTATGAGGGGGATATGTGTAGAAAGCTGTGTGTAACTCCATAGTTACGGTATGAGGGGGATATGTGTAGAAAGCTGTGTAACTCCATAGTTACGGTATGAGGGGGATATGTGTAGAAAGCTGTGTAACTCCATAGTTACGGTATGAGGCGGATATGTGTAGAAAGCTGTGTGTAACTCCATAGTTACGGTATGAGGGGGATATGTGTAGAAAGCTGTGTAACTCCATAGTTACGGTATGAGGGGGGATATGTGTAGAAAGCTGTGTAACTCCATAGTTACGGTATGAGGGGGATATGTGTAGAAAGCTGTGTAACTCCATAGTTACGGTATGAGGGGGATATGTGTAGAAAGCTGTGTGTAACTCCATAGTTACGGTATGAGGGGGATATGTGTAGAAAGCTGTGTAACTCCATAGTTACGGTATGAGGGGGATATGTGTAGAAAGCTGTGTAACTCCATAGTTACGGTATGAGGGGGGATATGTGTAGAAAGCTGTGTGTAACTCCATAGTTACGGTATGAGGGGGATATGTGTAGAAAGCTGTGTGTAACTCCATAGTTACGGTATGAGGGGGATATGTGTAGAAAGCTGTGTGTAACTCCATAGTTACGGTATGAGGGGGATATGTGTAGAAAGCTGTGTAACTCCATAGTTACGGTATGAGGGGGATATGTGTAGAAAGCTGTGTGTAACTCCATAGTTACGATATGAGGGGGATATGTGTAGAAAGCTGTGTAACTCCATAGTTACGGTATGAGGGGGATATGTGTAGAAAGCTGTGTAACTCCATAGTTACGGTATGAGGGGGATATGTGTAGAAAGCTGTGTAACTCCATAGTTACGGTATGAGGGGGATATGTGTAGAAAGCTGTGTAACTCCATAGTTACGGTATGAGGGGGATATGTGTAGAAAGCTGTGTAACTCCATAGTTGCGGTATGAGGGGGATATGTGTAGAAAGCTGTGTGTAACTCCATAGTTACGGTATGAGGGGGATATGTGTAGAAAGCTGTGTAACTCCATAGTTACGGTATGAGGGGGATATGTGTAGAAAGCTGTGTAACTCCATAGTTACGGTATGAGGCGGATATGTGTAGAAAGCTGTGTGTAACTCCATAGTTACGGTATGAGGGGGATATGTGTAGAAAGCTGTGTAACTCCATAGTTACGGTATGAGGGGGATATGTGTAGAAAGCTGTGTAACTCCATAGTTACGGTATGAGGGGGATATGTGTAGAAAGCTGTGTAACTCCATAGTTACGGTATGAGGGGGATATGTGTAGAAAGCTGTGTGTAACTCCATAGTTACGGTATGAGGGGGATATGTGTAGAAAGCTGTGTAACTCCATAGTTACGGTATGAGGGGGATATGTGTAGAAAGCTGTGTAACTCCATAGTTGCGGTATGAGGGGGATATGTGTAGGAAGCTGTTTGTAACTCCATAGTTACGGTATGAGGGGGATATGTGTAGAAAGCTGTGTGTAACTCCATAGTTACGGTATGAGGGGGATATGTGTAGAAAGCTGTGTAACTCCATAGTTGCGGTATGAGGGGGATATGTGTAGAAAGCTGTGTAACTCCATAGTTACGGTATGAGGGGGATATGTGTAGAAAGCTGTGTAACTCCATAGTTGCGGTATGAGGGGGATATGTGTAGAAAGCTGTGTAACTCCATAGTTACGGTATGAGGGGGGATATGTGTAGAAAGCTGTGTAACTCCATAGTTACGGTATGAGGGGGATATGTGTAGAAAGCTGTGTAACTCCATAGTTACGGTATGAGGGGGATATGTGTAGAAAGCTGTGTGTAACTCCATAGTTGCGGTATGAGGGGGATATGTGTAGAAAGCTGTGTAACTCCATAGTTACGGTATGAGGGGGATATGTGTAGAAAGCTGTGTAACTCCATAGTTACGGTATGAGGGGGATATGTGTAGAAAGCTGTGTAACTCCATAGTTACGGTATGAGGGGGATATGTGTAGAAAGCTGTGTGTAACTCCATAGTTGCGGTATGAGGGGGATATGTGTAGAAAGCTGTGTAACTCCATAGTTACGGTATGAGGGAGATACACATACAGTGCATTTGGAAAGTATTCAGACCCCTTGACTTTTTCCACATTTTGTTACGTTACAGCCTTATTCTAAAATCGATTCAAAAATGTTTTCCCTCAACAATCTACACACAATAACCCATAATGATAAAGCAAAAAGTGTTTTTTTAAATACATTTTTGCAAATTTATAAAAAATAAAAATACTGAAATATCACGTTTATATACGTATTCAGACCCTTTACTCAGTACTTTGTTGAAGCATCTTTAGCAGAGATTACAGCCCCAAGTCTTCTTTGGTATGACGCTACAAGCTTGGCACACCTGTAGTTGGGGAGTTTCTCCCATTCTTCTCTGCAGATCCTCTCAAGCTCTGTCAGGTTGGATGGGGAGCATTGCTGCACAGCTATTTTAAGGTCTCTCCAGAGATGTTCGATCGGGTTCAAGTTCAGGCTCTGGCTGGGCCACTCAAGGACATTCAAAGACTTGTCCCGAAGCCAGTCCTGCGTTGTCTTGGCTGTGTGCTTAGGGTCGTTGTCCTGTTGGAAGCTGAACCTTCGCCCCAGTCTGAGGTCCTGAGCACTGGAGCAGGTTTTCATCAAGGATCTCTCTGTACTTTGCTCCGTTCATCTTTCCCTTGATCCTGACTAGTCTTCCATTCCCTGCCGCTGAAGAACATCCCCACAGCACGATGCTGCCACCACCAGGCTTCACCGTAGGGATTGTGTCATGTTACCGCCAGACGTGACGCTTGGCACTCAGGCCAAAGAGTTCAATCTTGGTTTCATCAGACCAGAGAATCTTGTTTCTCATGGTCTGAGAGTCCTTTAGGTGCCTTTTTGCTAAACTCCAAGAGGGCTGTCATGTGCCTTTTACTGAGGAGTGGCTTCCGTCTGGCCACTCTACCATAAAGGCCTGATTGGTGGAGTGCTGCAGAGATGGTTGTCCTTCTGGAAGGTTCTCCCATCTCCACAGAGGAACTCTGGAGCTCTGTCAGTGACCATCGGGTTCTCTAGGAAGAGTCTTGGTGGTTCCAAACTTCTTCCATTTAAGAATGATTGAGGCCACTGTGTTCTTGGGGACTTTCAATGCTGCAGACAGTTTTGGTACCCTTCCCCAGATCTGTGCCTTGACGCAATCCTGTCTCTGAGCTCTACGGACAACTCCTTCGACCTCATGGCCTTTCGAAATCATGTCCAATCAATTGAATTTACCACAGGTGGACTCCAATCAAGGATGATCAATGGAAACAGGATGCACCTGAGCTCAATTTCGAGTCTCATAGCAAAGGGGCTGAATACCTTTGGAAATAAGGTATTTCTGTTTTGTATTTTTAATACATGTGCAAACATTTCTAAAACCTGTTTTCACTTTGTCATTATGGGGTATTGTGTGTAGATTGATGAGATTTTGTATTTATTGAATCCATTTGAGAATAAATCTGTAACGTAACAACGTGTAGAAAAAGTAAAGTGGGCTGAATAGTTTCTGAATGCCCTGTATTTGTAACACCATAGTTAATAGGGTGTCTATTTACAACACCTTAGTTATAACAATGAAGTGGTGGCGGTGGTTTCTATTGAATCTGTCAGTATACATGTACAGTGTGTGTGTGTGTGTGTGTACTCTGTGTGTGTGTACTGTGTAAAAATAAATAAATAATAAATATGCCATTTAGCAGACGCTTTTATCCAAAGTGACTTACAGTCATGCGTGCATACATTTTTGTGTATGGGTGGTCCCGGGGATCGAACCCACTACCTTGGCGTTACAAGCGCCGTGCTCTACCAGCTTGTACTCTGTGTGTGTGTACTCTGTGTGTGTGTGTGTACTCTGTGTAGTGCGTGCCTCATTACTCCTGGTGTCCATTGTAAAGGAATACCTCTTTATGGTGGTGTTTTATTTCCAGAATGGGTCAGTTGTTACCTTCTCACTCAGTCAGGATCTGTACTTTCTTCAATGTACTCCTGTCTTCTCTTTCACCTTGGTGTTGTTTGGATGAAACATCAGTGATCTGCATGTGTGTTTCTCTGTGATGTGGTGAATGTCCTGTACACTTCAGTGGGGTGGTTTGGTGATACCTGTGTAGTTTTTGCCTGAATGATGATTTGGTTGATTTATTTACCGGTCCACCAACATCTTTTGTGTTTTGCTTTGTTGAATGCCCCATGTTCTCCCGACATGTCAGTGTTGTTCTCAACCTCTTTCTCTCTCCCACCTTGTCTTCACCTCTCTGTTCCTCTCTCTTTCTCTCTCCCACCCTCTGTCTCCACCTCTCTCTCTTTCTCTCTCCCACCCTCTGTCTCCACCTCTCTGTTCCTCTCTCTCTTTCTCTCTCCCACCCTCTGTCTCCACCTCTCTGTTCCTCTCTCTCTTTCTCTCTCCCACCCTCTGTCTCCACCTCTCTGTTCCTCTCTTCCTCTCTCCCACCCTCTGTCTCCACCTCTCTCTCTTTCTCTCTCCCACCCTGTCTTCACCTCTCTGTTCCTCTCTCTCTTTCTCTCTCCCACCCTCTGTCTCCACCTCTCTGTTCCTCTCTCTCTTTCTCTCTCCCACCCTCTGTCTCCACCTCTCTGTTCCTTCTCTCTTTCTCTCCCTAACACCCTTGCCCTCTCCCTCCCTCTCCCCTCCTCCCCTCCACAGGGGTAACCGTGAGAGCTCCAGCCGTGCGTCCAGCAGTCGTCAGAGCAGTACCGACAGTGATATGAAGTGCCTGGAGCCAAGACCCTGGAGCAGCACAGACTCAGATAGCTCAAACAGGACCCTCCGGCCACCGGTCACCAAGGCATCCAGCTTCTCTGGCATCTCCATTCTGACCAGAGGAGATAGTCTGGGCAGCAACAAGAGCTCTCAGGGAAGCTGCAGGGGCTCACGCACTGGTATGTACCAGACAGACAGCCCAATGGGGATTTTATAATAAAAATGCATACTGTAGATGGAAATTCAAATGTTGTGACCATTGTACCCTGGGCAGTTAATTCTAGTACTTCAATCTCCCAATGTCAAATGGAGTGACATTTGAATTCAATTGAAATGGCATCACACGGACCTGTTGCAACCAGGAAGTGTGTACGACCTCTAGTGGTCCTAGAGATGCACTGACACTGGAGAACAGGATGGACAGAAGAAAACAGAATCCTTTTCATACCCTTTTCTCTTTTTGAAAACAAATCATAGGGGAAAGAACCTGAAGAGAGTACAGACAGAGTGCAGAAATGTTGAGGAACAAAACGTACTGTTTCTGTATTTGACTTTGTCTTGACTCTTGCGTTGTCTTGTTGTGTTATAGGTCTCCCTCTGGTGAGTCCAGACATGTGTCCCCAGCCCCCAGCCCCCCAGCCTGGCCCCTGCCCTGGAGGTCGCGGTCTTCTGCCGTGCCCCTCCCAGCAGCCCCAGGTCCAGACCCAGACCGCCCTACTGCCCACCCCACAGCAACACCCCATGGGCAACCACAACCACATGATGACTCAGGTGAGAGAGAAGCCCATATCATGAATCCTTTTTTAATTTAAATAAATATGGGTATTTAAATGCAGTTTCAGCTTAGTAAAATGAAAAGACATGGCTATATTCCTGCATTTTTCCTAACCTAACATCTGTCTGCATCTCCTCCTCTCTCCCCCTACCCCTCTCCCCCTCCCGCCATCTCCTCCTCTCTCGCTCTCCCCCTCCCGCCATCTCCCCCTCCCGCCATCTCCCCCTCTCCCCCTCCCGCCATCTCTCCCTCTCTCCCTCTGTTAGCCGGTGGGGTCTCTGCAGCCCTCTCAGCCTGTGTCCTACTCCTCCTCCTGTCCCCAGGTCCTCCTGCCTGTCTCTTCCCCCCAACAGTACATGGTACTAACATCATCCATCCCTTTATAATGCAGTATTTTACTGAGCCCTGTCTCTCTTCTCCCCAACAGTACATGGTACTAACATCATCCATACCTTTATTATTATATATATATATATATTTAATGTTGAAGTCGGAAGTTTACATACACCTTAGCCAAATACATTTAAACTCAGTTTTTCACAATTTCTGACATTTAATCCTAGTAAAAATTCCCAGTCTTAGGTCAGTTAGGATCACCACTTTATTTTAAGAATGTGAAATGTCAGAATAATAGTAGAGAGTGATTTATTTCAGCTTTTATTTATTTCATCACATTCCCAGTGGGTCAGAAGTTTACATACACTCAATTAGTATTTGGTAGCATTGCCTTTAAATTGTCTAACTTGGGTAAAACGTTTTGGGTAGCCTTCCACAAGCTTCCCACAATAAGTTGGGTGAATTTTGGCCCATTCCTCCTGACAGAGCTGAGTCAGGTTTGTAGGCCTCCTTGCTCGCACATGCTTTTTCAGTTCTGCCCACAAATGTTATATAGGATTGAGGTCAGGGCTTTGTGATGGCCACTCGAATACCTTGACTTTGTTGTCCTTAAGCCATTTTGCCACAACTTTGGAAGTATGCTTGGAGTCATTGTCCATTTGGAAGACCCATTTGCGACCAAGCTTTAACTTCCTGACTGATGTCTTGAGATGTTGCTTCAATATATCCACATCATTTTCCTTCCTCATGATGCCATCTATTTTGTGAAGTGCACCAGTCCCTCCTGCAGCAAAGCACCCCCACAGCATGATGCTGCCACCCCCGTGCTTCACGGTTGGGATGGTGTTCTTCGGCTTGCAAGCGTCCCCTTTTTCCTCCAAACATAACGATGGTCATTATGGCCAAACAGTTCTATTTTTGTTTCATTAGACCAGAGGACATTTCTCCAAAAAGTACGATCTTTGTCCCCATGTGCAGTTGCAAACCGTAGTCTGGCTTTTTTTATGGCGGTTTTGGAGCAGTGGCTTCTTCCTTGCTGAGCGGCCTTTCAGGTTATGTCGATATAGGACTCGTTTTACTGTGGATAAAGATACTTTTGTACCTGTTACCTCCAGCATCTTCACAAGGTCATTTGCTGTTGTTCTGGGATTGTTTTGCACTTTTCGCACCAAAGTACGTTCATCTCGAGGGGACAGAAAGCGTCTCCTTCCTGAGCGGTATGACGGCTAAGTGGTCCCATGGTGTTTATACTTGCGTACTATTGTTTGTACAGATGAACGTGGTACCTTCAGGCATTTGGAAATTGCTCCCAAGGATGAACCAGACTTGTGGAGGTCTACTTTTTTTCTCTGAGGTCTTGGCTGATTTCTTTTGATTTTCCCATGATGTCAAGCAAAGAGGCACTGAGTTTGAAGGTAGGCCTTGAAATACATCCACAGGTACACCTCCAATTGACTCAAATGATGTCAATTAGCCTATCAGAAGCTTCTAAAGCCATGACATCATTTTCTGGAATTGTCCAAGCTGTTTAAAGGCACAGTCAACTTAGTGTATGTAAACTTCTGACCCACTGGAATTGTGATACAGTGAATCATAAGTGAAAAAACCTGTCTGTAAACAATTGTTGGAAATATTACTTGTGTCATGCACAAAGTAGATGTCCTAACCGACTTGCCAAAACTATAGTTTGTTAACAAGAAATTTGTGGAGTGGTTGAAAAACGGGTTTTAATGACTCCAACCTAAGTGTATGTAAACTTCCGACTTCAACTGTATATGTGTATGTATGTGTGTGTATGTGTATATATATATATATATATATATATATATATATATATATATATATTAAACAACTCTACAGTATGGTACCAAGCCTTGCGTTTCATATCTTGGCTTTCTCACCCAGTCTTATTAGTCCCTATTGGAATGAAGTGGCAATATGACATTCACATGACAACTCTACATTCACACCTACTCACTTCTATGATTATATCCTTAGTACTAACAGCCTCTGGTTGTCATTATGCTGTGCGTAGGATAGAAATATTTTGTTTTTAGGGGCAACTATCTTCAAATGATATCATCATATCCAGTTTATTGGTTACTGTGTCAAACCCACCAGTAACTGTTTGTAATAAACACTTGTCCCTCTCAGGGTGAGGAGCTGGCTCCCCAGTTCAGCCAGATGACTCTGAGTCGACAGGGTTCCAGCGAGGCCCCGGAACCCCCCACCATGTACCAGACCCAGGGGCCCACTGTCCTCACCCAGCACCCCCCACCCCAGACGGGCTACATCATGGCCGCCACAGCCCAGCCCCTGGCCCCTCAGTCTGGCTACCAGCCTAACACTGGACACCCCCATCCTCCTCCTCCTCCTCCACCCCCTCCCTCCCAGACGATCATGCAGCCCCCACCGCCGCCCCAGGGGTACATGCAGCCGCCTCCCCCTCAACAGGTATGAAATTGGGTTCGCAATCAATCATCAGCAGTTGTCCCAAAGTGCCTTAAACCTGGTTTGAATCAATACGGAGTATAATTTGGAATAAAATGTTTCCCTTATTCATGGTGCAATAATAATGGTTAAACTTTGTCATCATGAGTTAGAGACTGAAGGTACAAATACAGCCCAGCAGCCTGAAAAGCTGAAGTGGAACATTTTGGCCTAAACTTTGTTTCACAAACTTTACCAATAAATGTGAGAACATTTAGATTGCTGTGAAATCGCGGCAGGAATCACACAGTCGGCGGCAATGTGACAGTATCTCTCTCCCACTCAGAGTACTGTGTGACTGGCTGTGAAGTCTGCTCTCTTTCACCCTATCTTTCTCTCTCTCTCTCTCTCTCTCCTCTCGTCACACCATCAAGCAGCCCAGTAACGAACTGCTTGAATCCATAAAATATTAATTTAAATTCTGGAGGAGGAAACCTCTACGGCATTGACCCTACACCCTGGGGGGATAGTTCCCACAAAAGTAGCTTTGGGGGGCAAGTAGGAGTTTGGCAAATAGCTCCACTGCTGTCTCTTGCGGGCTTTGTGAGGAAGTCGCAGTGCGTTCAGCACTTTGTAAGGTAGCTAGTGGCAGTACATTCCCAGTAGGGAGAATAGCCATAGCCTACAATAGATAGCTCTTGGCAGAGGGAGATGTCCCTAGACTAGAGCAGTGTTGCTTTAGTGTTCCCTGTATGTGTCATGTCCTTCAGGACAACCACTAGCTATAAGGAAGCAGGGCTCACAGCTTACAGACCTGTCTCTCTCTTTGAGCTAAACTCAGATGGAGTCATGCTCGTAGGGGGGCAAGCAAACACCCCTAGTTTATTGTGTGTGTGTGTGTGTGTGTGTGTGTGTGTGTGTGTGTGTGTGTGTGTGTGTGTGTGTGTACATGTAATTGATCACATCTTTACTAATGCTGCCGAAATTTGCTTTAAAGCAGTATCCAGATCCATCGGATGTAGTGATCACAATATAGTAGCCATATCTAGGAAAACCAAAGTTCCAAAGGCTGGGCCTAATAAATTGTATAAGAGGTCATACAATAAGTTTTGTAGTGATTCCTATGTTGTTGATTTTAAATAATATGTGTTTGTCTGTGGTGTGTAATGAGGAGCAACCAGACGCTGCACTTGACACATTTATGAAATTGCTTATCCCAGTTACTAATCAGCATGCACCCATTAAGAACATGACTGTAAAAAACTGTGAAATCCCCGTGGATTGATGAGGAATTGAAAAATTGTATGGTTGAGAGGGATGAGGCAAAAGGAATGGCTAATAAGTCTGGCTGCACAACCGATTGGCAAACATACTGCAAATTGAGAAATCATATGACTGAACTGAATAAAAAGAAGAAGAAACTACACTATGAAACAAAGATAAATGACATCAATTTTTGGCAAAAAGGCAAACTCAGCTCCATCATTCATTGAATCAGATGACTCATTCATCACAAAACCCACTGATATTGCCAACTACTTTAATGATTTTTTTTCATTGGCAAGATTAGTAAACGTAGGCATGACATGCCAGCAACAAACGCTGACACTACACATCCCAGTATATCTGACCAAATTATGAAAGACAAGCGTTGTAATTTTGAATTCCTTGAAGTGAGTGTGGAAGATGTGAAAAAGTATTGTTGTCTGTCAACAATGACCTGGGTCTGACAACTTGGATGGAAAATTACTGAGGATAATAGCAGACGATATTGCCACTCCTATTTGCCTTATCTTCAATTTAAGCCTACTAGAATGTGTGTGCCCTCAGGCCTGGAGGGAAGCAAAAGTCATTCCACTACCTAGGAATAGTAAAGCCCCCTTTACTGGCTCAAATAGCTGACCAATCAGCCTGTTACCAACCCGTAGTAAACTTTTGGGAAAAAATGGTGTTTGACCAGATACAATGCTGTTTTACAGTAAACAAATTGACAAGACTTTCAGCACGCTTATAGGGAAGGACATTCAACAAGCACAGCACTTACACAAATGACTGATGATTGGCTGAGAGAAATTGAGGATAAAAAGATTGTGGTGGCTATTTTGTTAGACTGCAGTGCAACTTTTGACATTATCGATCATAGTCTGCTGCTGGAAAAACGTATGTGTTATGGCTTTACACCCCCTGCTATATTGTGGATAAAGATTGACCTGTCTAACAGAACACAGAGGGTGTTCTGTAATGGAAGCCTGTCTAGGCACCTTACCTTTTTCAATCTTTACTAACGACAGGCTCTGAGTAAAGCCAGTGTGTCTATGTATGCGGATGACTCAACACTATACACGTCAGCTACCACAGCGACTGAAATGACAGCAACACTTAACAAAGCGCTGCAGTTAGTTTCAGAATGGGTGGCAAGGAATAAGTTAGTCCTAAATATTTCAAAAACTAAAAGCATTGTATTTGGGACAAATCATTCACTAACCCTCAACTAAATATTGTAATAAATAATGTGGAAATTGAGCAAGTTGAGGTGACTAAACTGCTTGGAGTAACCCTGGATTGTAAACTGTCATCGTTAAAACATATTGATACAACAGTAGCTAAAATGGGGAGAAGTCTGTCCATAATAAAGCGCTTCTCTGCCTTTTTAACAGCACTATCAACAAGGCAGGTCCTACAGGCCCTAGTTTTGTCGCACCTGGACTACTGTTCAGTCGTGTGGTCAGGTGTCACAAAGAGGGACTTAGGAAAAGTGCAATTGGCTCAGAACAGGGCAGCACGGCTGGCCCTTGGATGTACACAGAGAGCTAACATTAATAATATGCATGTCAATCTCTCCTGGCTCAAAGAGAGATTGACTTCATCACTACTTGTATTTGTGAGAGTTATTGACATGTTGAATGCACCGTACTGTCTGTTTGAACTACTGGCACACAGCTCAGACACCCATGCATACCCCACAAGACATGCCACCAGAGGTTTCTTCACAGTCCCCAAGTCCAGAACAGACTATGGGAGGCGCACAGTACTACATAGAGCCATGACTTCATGGAACTCTATTCCACATCAAGTAACTCATGCAAGCAGTATAGTTAGATTTAAAAAACAGATAAAAATACACCTTATGGAACAGCGGGGACTGTGAAGCAACACAAACATAGGCACAGACACATGCATACACACACATGATAACATACGCACTATACACACACGCACACATTTTGTGTTGTAGATATGTGGTAGTGGAGTAGGGGCCTGAGGGCACACACTTAATGTGTTGTGAAATCTGTTATGAATGTATTACTGCCTTAATTTTGCTGGTCCCCAGGAAGAGTAGCAGCTGCCTTGGCAGGAACTAATGGGGATCCATAATAAATACGAATACTACCTTTGAACCTCCATCAACCTCTAAGAGTTGATTTCTAGTTAATGCCATTATTAATGCACCTTGGTTGGATGGTTTCTTATTGTACTACCTATGAACTGACTGTATTTCTCCTTCCCTCTACTCCTCCTCCTCCAGATATCTTATTACCCACCTGGGCAGCAGTACCCCAGCACAGGGCAGCAGTACCCCAGCACAGGGCAGCAGTACCCCAGCACAGGGCAGCAGTACCCCAGCACAGGGCAGCAGTACCCCAGCACAGGGCAGCAGTACCGGCCTGGACCCATGGCTCACCAGGTGGCCTACCCTGCCCAGCAGTCCCAGCCCATGCCCCAGCCCGTGCCCCAGCCCGTGCCCCAGCCCACACAGCAGTCTGGTCAGTACCTCTACAATACCATCTTTCTCAATGAAAGATTAGTCTGTCTATAAAATGTGCAGTTTTGTCACACAACACAATGCCACAGATGTCTCAAGTTTTGAGGGAGTGTGCAATTGGCATGCTGACTGCAGGAATGTCCACCAGAGCTGTTGCCAGATAATTTAATGTTCATTTCTCTACCATAAGCCGCCTCCAACGTCGTTTTAGAGAATTTGGCAGTACATCCAACCGGCCAACCGAGAAATGCTCACAAACAGGGATTTAAACCAATTTGTACACATAATTTGAGAGAAATAAGCTTTTTGTGCCTATCGAAAATGTCTGGTATATTTTATTTCAGCTCATGAAACATGGGACCAACACTTTACATGTTGCCTTTATATTTTGGGTCAGTGTAATTACATCTGACCACGTCCTTGTTCACATAACACCAATTTCCATGAAACCTCTGAAATCTACTTGGATGGGGGTACATAATACACTCCCTGCGTCTCGTAACGGTCCGTTCAGCCCTTTTCGAGAACCAAAAAAAAAAAAAGAATTTGACATGCTAATGACCAAGGCCAACTAAATTTCTACATTACAGATTCAAATGAGGCTACACTCACAGTTGCGTGAGAATCTGACTTACATCTGTAGTGTGTTGGTGAAAAGTAAGCAGGACCGGTGAAAGCCAGGATTCCTGTACACTGTGCATTTTTCACTGTGTATATTTGCTGAGTGAACATTCATCAACAGTGTGTTGCGTTTCGAGTACAGAGACCTTCAAGCCATAGATGACCAAAGTGCTGATTACCTGATTTGGCAACATTGCATACACTGTGTACAGTAGCAGTTCACCCACCCAGTCAACATGACCCTTGCTGTATCAACAGAAACAACGCCAACAAGGCACTAAAATAACAAGGATCAAGGTTAGCTAAATAATGGTTGCCAGGAATAAATTGCTATTTTAGTCACCACATTGTATAGTTGGCGAGAGCAGTACTGATGCAATGAGTCCTGAAAAGTTACCATGATTATACACGTACGACCCTGAGCATTCAGACGGCAACAAGCCTACCCCCAGCCGGACGGTCATGTTCACCTTTCTCAGCCTCACCCCCAGATAGGCCCATGTTCTTCCATGGCTTTAGGTCTACATCCCTTTCTTTCTAGACGTCATGTTCATGTTAACACAGGCTATGTTGACATTCCGTTGTTTCTATTGATACGTCCCTACATGCATCATTTAAATATGTAGCTTAGTGTTTATAGTGTGGTCTGTAGTTTTTAGCTTACAGTTCATAGTGTTCATACTGTATGTGGATTTGTGTACATTCTGCGTCTATATATCCTGTTTATCATCTGTCTGTATATCCTGGTTATTATCTGTCTGTATATCCTGGTTATCGTCTGTATATCCTGGTTATCATCTGTCTGTATATCCTGGTTATCGTCTGTATATCCTGGTTATCATCTGTCTGTATATCCTGGTTATCGTCTGTATATCCTGGTTATTATCTGTCTGTATATCCTGTTTATCGTCTGTGTATATCCTGGTTATTATCTGTCTGTATATCCTGGTTATCATCTGTCTGTATATCCTGGTTATCATCTGTCTGTATATCCTGGTTATCACCTGTCTGTATATCCTGGTTATCATCTGTGTATATCCTGGTTATCGTCTGTCTGTATATCCTGGTTATCGTCTGTCTGTATATCCTGGTTATCGTCTGTCTGTATATCCTGGTTATCTTCTGTCTGTATATCCTGGTTATCGTATGTCTGTATATCCTGGTTATCGTCTGTCTGTATATCCTGGTTTTCGTCTGTCTGTATATCCTGGTTATCGTCTGTCTGTATATCCTGGTTAACATCTGTCTGTATATCCTGGTTATCATCTGTCTGTATATCCTGGTTATCATCTGTCTGTATATCCTGGTTATCATCTGTCTGTATATCCTGGTTATCGCCTGTCTGTATATCCTGGTTATCGTCTGTCTGTATATCCTGGTTATCGTCTGTCTGTATATCCTGGTTATCGTCTGTCTGTATATCCTGGTTATCGTCTGTCTGTATATCCTGGTTATCGTCTGTCTCTATATCCTGGTTATCGTCTGTCTGTATATCCTGGTTATCGTCTGTCTGTATATCCTGGTTATCATCTGTCTGTATATCCTGGTTATCATCTGTCTGTATATCCTGGTTATCGTCTGTCTGTATATCCTGGTTATCATCTGTCTGTATATCCTGGTTATCGTCTGTCTGTATATCCAGGTTATCGTCTGTCTGTATATCCTGGTTATCGTCTGTCTGTATATCCTGGTTATCTTCTGTCTGTATATCCTGGTTATCGTCTGTCTGTATATCCTGGTTATCTTCTGTCTGTATATCCTGGTTATCTTCTGTCTGTATATCCTGGTTATCGTCTGTCTGTATATCCTGGTTTTCGTCTGTCTGTATATCCTGGTTATCGTCTGTCTGTATATCCTGGTTAACATCTGTCTGTATATCCTGGTTATCATCTGTCTGTATATCCTGGTTATCATCTGTCTGTATATCCTGGTTATCGTCTGTCTGTATATCCTGGTTATCGTCTGTCTGTATATCCTGGTTATCGTCTGTCTGTATATCCTGGTTATCGTCTGTCTGTATATCCTGGTTATCGTCTGTCTGTATATCCTGGTTATCGTCTGTCTGTATATCCTGGTTATCGTCTGTCTGTATATCCTGGTTATCATCTGTCTCTATATCCTGGTTATCATCTGTCTGTATATCCTGGTTATCGTCTGTCTGTATATCCTGGTTATCATCTGTCTGTATATCCTGGTTATCATCTGTCTGTATATCCTGTTTATTGTGGCAGCTCCATTTCACTGAGTCAAATTCCTGTACTTGTATTTGGCGTGTAAGGGTGATTCTGACATGTGCCGTGGTCGTCACCAGTAGGTCCAGGGTTGATAGGAGTGCAGCATACCCAGAATACACACACACAGATACACACACACACACACACACACACACACAGATACACACACACACACACACACACTTGTGTTAACATGACCATGTCCTCCATGACCAGCAGGTCTCCAGACCATGATGCCCAACCAGCAGCCCCAGTACCAGGGGATGATAGGAGTACCCCAGCAGCCCCAGAACCAGGCTCTCCTCACCTCCCAGAGGCAGGGACAGATGACGACCATGATGGTCCAGTACCCACAGTTGCCCTCATATCAGGTACAGTAAAGGTTGTATGTGTGTTAATGTGATTTGTTATATCTTCTATGCATTTCAGAGTTCCTCAATGCTCAGTTCTTGGACCCACAACTGTTCTTATGTAAAAGTAACTAGTGGGATGTAACTGGTGAGATCTGAACCCGGGTCTTTTGCTCGGGAAACCAGCAGTTAGACCAAGAGGATATTGTGGCAATTCACCTTGGCTACATGTTTAATGTGTCTTGTCTCCTAGCAGGTCCCTGTGGCCAGTGACCCTCAACAGGTGATCCAGCACCAGCAGCAGTACCAACAGCAGGTCATGGTGCCAGTCAGCCAGTCTCTGCAGACTGTCCAGGGACCCATGCCTGTATACTACAGCGTCATCACCCCCACACAACAGAACAGCACAAGGTAGATGCATAAAATATGACTTTTATATAGCGTGCTTTGAACAGGTGCTGGAAATTGTATGGGGAGAACTCCACTACTCCCAACATATTGCACACCTGGGGGATGCCACCGCAGACATGTTGAGCTAGAACCCAGATACCTTGTTCTAAACAAGTATAAGTGACAATCTCACTTCTAGAATAACAAAAATAAAGTATGCTTAAAAAGCAAGCATTACAGTTGAAGTTGTTTAACACTATCTGTAACAAGACGTGTTCTACTGGTGTCTCTATCTGTAACAAGACCAAGACGTGTTCTACTGGTGTCTCTATCTGTAACAAGACGTGTTCTACTGGTGTCTCTATCTGTAACAAGACCAAGACGTGTTCTACTGGTGTCTCTATCTGTAACAAGACCAAGACGTGTTCTACTGGTGTCTCTATCTGTAACAAGACGTGTTCTACTGGTGTCTCTATCTGTAACAAGACGTGTTCTACTGGTGTCTCTATCTGTAACAAGACGTGTTCTACTGGTGTCTCTATCTGTAACAAGACGTGTTCTACTAGTGTCTCTATCTGTAACAAGACGTATTCTACTGGTGTCTCTCTGTAACAAGACGTGTTCTACTGGTGTCTCTATCTGTAACAAGACGTGTTCTACTGGTGTCTCTATCTGTAACAAGACGTGTTCTACTGGTGTCTCTGTCTGTAACAAGACGTGTTCTACTGGTGTCTCTATCTGTAACAAGACCAAGACGTGTTCTACTGGTGTCTCTATCTGTAACAAGACGTGTTCTACTGGTGTCTCTATCTGTAACAAGACCAAGACGTGTTCTACTGGTGTCTCTATCTGTAACAAGACCAAGACGTGTTCTACTGGTGTCTCTATCTGTAACAAGACGTGTTCTACTGGTGTCTCTATCTGTAACAAGACCAAGACGTGTTCTACTGGTGTCTCTATCGGTAACAAGACGTGTTCTACTGGTGTCTCTATCTGTAACAAGACCAAGACGTGTTCTACTGGTGTCTCTATCTGTAACAAGACCAAGACGTGTTCTACTGGTGTCTCTATCTGTAACAAGACATGTTCTACTGGTGTCTCTATCTGTAACAAGACGTGTTCTACTGGTGTCTCTATCTGTAACAAGACCAAGACGTGTTCTACTGGTGTCTCTATCGGTAACAAGTTCTCCTGCTAACTGCTTGGCTAAGCACTAATTGTAAGACTCTGGGAAACTGAGCTGTAAATGAAATTAAAAACGATTGAATAGGATAGAAACTCACATGACTGGGATCAATAAGCAACCTATTTAACACTCCTTTGACACCCACACACACACACACTGCTTTCACATTCCTTCAATCAATTTTATTTTATATAGCCCTTCTTACATCAGCTAATATCTCGAAGTGCTGTACAGAAACCCAGCCTAAAACCCCAAACAGCTAGTAATGCAGGTGTAGAAGCACGGTGGCTAGGAAAAACTCCCTAGAAAGGCGAAAACCTAGGAAGAAACCTAGAGAGGAACCAGGCTATGAGGGGTGGCCAGTCCTCTTCTGGCTGTGCCGGGTGGAGATTATAACAGAACCATGCCAAGATGTTCAAAAATGTTCATAAGTGACAAGCATGGTCAAATAATAATCAGGAATAAATCTCAGTTGGCTTTTCATAGCCGATCATTAAGAGTTGAAAACAGCAGGTCTGGGACAGGTAGGGGTTCCATAACCGCAGGCAGAACAGTTGAAACTGGAATAGCAGCAAGGCCAGGCGGACTGGGGACAGCAAGGAGTCACCACGGCCGGTAGTCCCGACGTATGGTCCTAGGGCTCAGGTCTCTCAGTTGGCTTTTCATAGCCGATCATTAAAGAGTTGAAAACAGCAGGTCTGGGACAGGTAGGGGTTTCTACACAAAATATTTGCATTGTAATTTAAGCCTAGCAGCTTGTTGACGTGATACGCCTACCGTCTGTGGATGTGGATGACTGCCAAGTGCTTAGTGTTTGTGTCTCTGAGTGTTTCTCTGTGGGTTTGTGTGTGTTTCTCTCCCAGTCCGTCCGTGGGGTACCTGCAGCCCAGCTCAGAGCAGTACCAGATGAGCCCGTCTACTTCTCCCTGCAACCCTCCGCAGATGCAGCAGCAATATTCAGGTGAGAGTTCATCTGGTCTGCGATGAACCAGAAAGACCACACAGGTTTTCTGACTTTGTTGAATACACCAATCAGGTGAGAGTTAATCTGGTTCTGAGCTCTTAACTTTATTGATGAGGTTTCATCAACAAAGTTGGCCCTGTGTTGTAGCCCTTACGATGAAGGGGTCATTTTAAAGTGTAACCTTTGCCCTACAATGCTTTAACTGTGTGTGTCTGTGTGTGTGGTGCTACAGGAGTGCCTCCCCCAGGTCCCGGGGTGATGGTCATGCAGCTTAGCATCCCCAACGGACCCCAGCCTACCCAGAACCCTCCTCTGGTACAGTGGAACCCCTGCAAGTACTACCGCCTAGAGCAGAGACCCAGCAAGCCTGGAGATCTCTACAAACCTGACAATGCACAACAGGTAATATATACAGCACTACTATAATACTACTATACAGTACTACAACAGATACTATATACAGCACTACTATAATACTACCATACAGTACTACAACAGATACTATATACAGCACTACTATAATACTACCATACAGTACTACAACAGATACTGTATACAGCATTACTGTACTTCCTGTATACTCTATACCACTCCCTCACATACAGTATCCAGTGGACTACTCCTATGGAGGATAGCGTAGGATTCTCCTATGCTGACATTACATTTTAAATGAAAAAAGGCTAAATTGTGATATTTGTTTACTATCTGTATTGTGAACTACAGTACATCTCATCCTCTCTTTCCCCTATCCATCTCCTCCCCTCTCTCTCTCTCTCCCTCCCTCCTCTCTCCCCCCCCCCCCCCCCCCCCCCCTCCCCACTCCAGACCAGTATACAGATGCAGGGCAGTCCCCTGGCCTCCCCCACCCAGTCTCCCACCCCCTCCCCATCAGGCAGTGTGAGCAGTGTCTGTCCAGGCCTCGGCCCTCTGCCCCTACTGTCACAGTTCGCCCGGCCCGGACCAGGGCCCGCACAAGGTAACAACACACGGAGACAGACAGACAAGATGCACACCGTAACACTTACCATACATACACCGCATGCATCGCAGTGCTGAGGGTGACGCACAATCTGCCCAACGCCGTCCTGGGGGGCTTTCCTTGGCTCGCCACGCTCAAGCGACTCCTTGTGGCGTGCCAGGCGCCTGCAAGCTGACTTTGGTCATCAGTCGAACAGTGTTTCCTGGGCTTCCGGGTTAAGCGAGCAGTGTGTTAAGAAGCAGTGTGGCTTCGGCGGGTCATGTTTCGCAGGACGCATGTCTCGACCTTCGCCTCTCCCAAGCCCATTGGGGAGTTGCAGCAATAAGACAAGATCGTAACTACCAATTGGATATCACGAAATAAGGGGAGAAGATATATATTTATTAAAGACACACACAGCAGACGTAACACCAGTCCTGCTGATCTACTGCACCGGTTTGACATGTCAGGACTAAAATATGTGCACATGCCACCACACTGACACACTGACCAAATTTCACTGTGAGCCTGTAGCTTTCACATTCACAAATACACAGGCACACACACACACACACACACACACACACACACACACACACACACACACACACACACACACACACACACACACACAGGCACACACACACACACACACACACACACACACGCACACACAGGCACACACACACACACACACACACACACAGGCACACACACAGGCACACACACACACAGGCACACACACACACACACACAGGCACACACACACACACACACACACACAGGCACACACACCGATTTGACTACGGTGAGCCTCTATTATTCCAGCTATGGTCATGTGATATGAATCCTGGCCTACCCCTGGTTCTTGCTCTTTCATTTTACATTTACATTTTAGTCATTTAGCAGACGCTCTTATCCAGAGCCACTTACAGTTAGTGAGTGCATACATTTTTCATACTGGCCCCCCCGTGGGAATCGAACCCACAACCCTGGCGTTGCACGCGCCACGCTCTACCAACTGAGCTACAGGAGGCCCAACTTCCACAGTGACTCTTCACCCAGTAACCCCTTCACCCAGTAACCCCTTCACCCAGTAACCCCTTCACACAGTAACCCCTTCACCCAGTAACCCCTTCATGATCTGTCCGTGTTGTCTTTGGCCAGCCACCAGCAGGCCCTGAGAACCTGAACTTACTCACCTTACCCACATGGCTGATCAGGCCCGCACACGCACACACACACACACACACACACACACAGGTCACGCCTGCTTGCCTACACTAACCGGCCCTTTCACCTACACATCTATCCTCACACACCTGACTAGGGTTGCAGAGGGAGGGAGGGTATATTACTGGAAACCTTTTAACTTCACACATTTTTGTAGCTTTCAAGTTTTTTGGGGGGAATTTTATGAGATGATACGACATCTAGTGGACTTTTTGGGTACTTCAGATTATCACAGGTGTCTGTAATTATCTCTGGCCCTCTGTGTCGCCTTATCGCATGTAAAATACTGTGTATATACACAATAATGAAATAAGAAGGGCTACTTACACAGTGTTGGGAAGGGATCACAGCAGTGATTTGAATGAGGGTATGAGGCATGAGTTGAGGTGTTCAGAGGCTTGACTTCATTGCAGGACAGGGGTTGAGGTGTTCAGAGGCTTCAGTGCAGGACAGGCTCATCGTGGATGGTGTTGGAGAGCAGCTCAACTCCTTCACTGAGGACAGCACAGGATCTGACTGAGAAGACAAAAAGAATATCAAAACACTGTTAGTCCAAGCAAGGATTGTTGATGAATGTGATTGACTCTGTGTACAGTAATGAGAGAAAATGTACAGGGCTACCCACAATGCTTGGAGAGGAAAGATTCAATGCGCCAGTGGATGAGAGGGCACATTAGACATGGCTTCAGTTCATTTCAGGAGCGCGTTGACACTGGTAGTGGAGCAGAGTGTTAATCCCCTCTTCATCAGGGAACAGGAAGGGACTTAGCGCTAAATACAAATAGCAGATACATTCCATTCCATCGATAGCCTAGGCCTTGGTGTGTGGAGAAACACATATTGTACAATATGAGGAGGAAATTATAGTCCTAAAAAAGCTTTCCAGTTTCACTGACTCACCCAAAGATGCGCAGCTCACTCGCCGGAGATGGCCGATGCGCTCATGCCAAATGCCTATCTGTAGCCTACAGTCAGATTAGTATTTTCTTTTCAGCAGGAGCAAAAAGATTTGATTGGTCGGAAGACTTCCTCCGGAAGTCGTCATAATTACCATGTACAGTGCATTTGGAAAGTATTCAGACCCCTTGACTTTTTCCACATTTTGTTACGTTACAGCCTTATTCTAAAATGGATGAAATAGTTTTTTTCTCCTCATCAATCTACACACAATACCCCATAATGACAAAACAAAAACAGGTTTAAAAAAAAAAAAAAAAAAAAAAAAAACTGAAATTACATCTCTGCAGATCCTCTCAAGCTCTGTCAGGTTGGATGGGGAGCGTCGCTGCACATCTATTGTCAGGTCTCTCCAGAGAGGTTAGATCGGGCTCAAGTCCGGGCTCTGGCTGGGCCACTCAAGGACATTCAGAGACTTGTCCCGAAGCCACTCCTGCGTTGTCTTGGCTGTGTGCATAGGGGTCGTTGTCCTGTTGGAATGTGAATCTTCGCCCCGGTCTAAGGTCCTGAGCGCTCTGGAGCAGGTTTTCATCAAGGTTCTCTCTGTACTTTGCTCCATTCATCTTTCCTTCGATCCTGACTAGTCTCCCAGTCCCTGCCGCTGAAAAACATCCCCACAGCATGATGCTGCCACCAGCATGCTTCACCATATGGATGGGTGCCAGGTTTCCTCCAGACGTGACACTTGGCATTCAGGCCAAAGAGTTCAATCTTGGTTTCATCAGACCAGAGAATCTTGTCTCTCATGGTCTGAGAGTCCTTTACGTACCTTTTGGCAAACTCCAAGCGGGCTGTCATGTGCCTTTTACTGAGGAGTGGCTTCCGTCTGGCCACTCTATAATAAAGGCCTGATTGGTGGAGTGCTGCAGAGATGGCCAGAGTGACCATGGGGTTCTTGGTCACCTCCCTGACCAAGGCCCTTCTCCCCCGATTGCTCAGTTTGGCCGGGCGGCCAGCTCTAGGAAGAGTCTTGGTGGTTCCAAACTTCTTCCATTTAAGAATGATGGAGGCCACTGTGTTCTTGGGGACCTTCAATGCTGCAGAAATGTTTTGGTACCCTTCCCCAGATCTGTGCCACGACACAATCCTGTCTCGGAGCTCTACGGACAATTCCTTCGACCTCATGACTTTTTGCTCTGACATGCACTGTCAACTGTGGGACCTTATCTAGACAGGTGTGTGCCTTTCCAAATCATGTCCAATCAATTGAATTTACCACAGGTGGATTCCAATCAAGTTGTAGAAACATCTCAAGGATGATCAATGGAAACATGATGCATCTGAGCTCAATTTCGAGTCTCATAGCAAAGGGTGTGAATACTTTTTTAAATCTTTTTTTTTTACAAAAAAACCTGTTTTTGCTTTGTCATTATGGGGTATTGTGTGTAGATTGATGACACATGTATTTTATTTAATCAATTTTAGAATAAGGCTGTAACGTAACAAAATGTGGAAATAGGGAAGGGGTCTGAATACTTTTCGAATGCACTGTAGGTCTATGGAAGGGTGTGAGAACCATGAGCCTCCTAGGTTTTGAATTGATGTCAATGTAGCTAGAGGAGTACAGGGCGGAATATAGCTGTCCTCCGGCTGCACCATGGTGCTGCCCTACAGAGGGCTGTTGAGGCTACTGTAGACCTTCATTGCAAAACAGTGTGTTTTAATCAGGTATTTGGTGACGTGAATATATTTAGTATAGTTATATAAAAATGATAATTGTTTTGTATTATTCACTGAGTAGGATGGTCCTCCCCTTCCTGTTCTTAGGAGCCACCACTGACACACACAGGTTTTACTACGGTTTGCCTCTGTTATTCCTGGCATTGCGATATGAGTCTTCCAAAGTGTCCCTTCACCCAGTAACCCCTTCACACAGTAACCCCTTCACCCAGTAACCCCTTCACACAGTAACCCCTTCACACAGTAACCCCTTCATGATCTGTCCGTGTTGTCTTTGGCCAGCCACCAGCAGGCCCTGAGAACCTAACCCTACTCACCTTACCCACATGGCTGATCAGGCCCGCACACGCACACACACACACACACACACACACACACACTGTCACGCCACCTCGCCTAGCTTGCCCTTTCACCTACACATCTATCCTCACACACTGCCTCAGCTCACCGTTTACACTCTGCACACACACACACAGTTATCCTGTCCTTTCACCTACACATCTGTCCTCACACACAGCCTCAGCTAACCCTTTAAACCCACATTCACCTTTTTGATTCTGGCTCACACATATTTCTATGATATTTCAGTTTGTGTCCTGTCCCGTGTGTGTGCAGGTGACGGGTGCTACTCTCTGTTGGGCCAGCCTCTCCATTATAGCCTCTGTCCCTCTCCTCTCATCCACAGCCAGACAAATTACAGTTCACATCAGGTACTATCTCTCTCTCCCTCCCTCCCCTCCCTCCCTCCCTCCCCTCCCTCCCTCTCTCCATCCCTTCTCACCCTCCTTGAAGCTCACTACAGCTACCCTCCCTCCCTCCTTCCCTCCCTCCCACCTCTCTGTTCTGGCCCTCCCATCCCCCTCCCTCCCTCCCCTCCTCCCTCCACCTCTCCCTCCCTCCCTCCCTCCCTCCCTCCCTCCCTCCCTCCCACCTCTCTGTTCCGGCCCTCCCCTCCCTCCCTCCCTCCCTCCTCCCTCCCTCCCCTCCCACCTCTCTGTTCCGGCCCTCCCCGCCCCTTCAAGTGTAGCATGTCTACTAGCCTATAACCTGCTTGACCCTGGTTGCTGTTGGTGCGTTTCAGAGCCAAGTGGGAATGAAGCATGGGGCGAGAGGGAAGAGGCCGACAATGAAGTCTCAATCTACAGACCTGGGCACCACTGACGTAGGTAAGACAACAGATAGACTTCTCCTTTACGGTGCATATGCTGATATATAACACTATCTTATACTTCCATCCAGATGACCTCAAGGTTTGGGCCTCTCTCCGATTCAGTACACTTGACTTGCGTCCCACACACACACACACAAATGCTTGATTTTTATTTTACCAGGCAGGTCAATTAATAATACATTTTTATTTACGATGACTGACTGGATTCATACAGTTATTGTATGGAAGTTGTATTAGCGTCTGTCTGACCTCTCTCTTCCCTGTCTCCAGTGGTGAGTCGGGTGCTGGAGGTGACAGACCTCCCAGAGGGCATCAGTCGCCCTGAGGCTGAGAAGCTCTTCAACCAGCTGTCAATGTGCGGTGCGAAGATCCAGTGGCTCAAGGACCCGGTGGCGGGGGGCCGTGGAGGCTACGGTGGCCCAGGAGGGCATCACGGTCCTGGGATGGGGTCTGGAGGGGGGAAGGGGAAGGATGACCCGGCTCACCTCTACACGGTGGTGGCTGTGTTCCCTTCCACCATGGCTGCACAGAGTGCTTCCTTCAAACTCAACAACAGTGGGGCCAGCCTCTTCAAACTGAGGGCCGCCAAAAAGAACTATGACCTAAGAGTCCTGGAGAGGGCCAGCTCCCAGTGAAGAGAAAGAGAGGGGGGGCGAAAGAGAAGAGACTTCTGAAAAGGAGGAGTGGAAAGGAGTTGGACTGAGGGGACTGACCAGTTTTTGGGACAGACAGGGGAAGGTGGGACAAGACTTCACACGTTAAGTGGAACAGGTGAACACACAACACAAACGGAGAGGATGGTGTTTGCAAAATATGAAATTTATTTTTTCATTTTCAATTGTTTTGTTTTATATTATTGATACCTGAAGAGCACATAAGATACGTGAGCATGTGGATCACTGTTGCTGTGTATTTGTGCTTACACACACGTCCGTGCACGAACAGGCAACAGGGTCACTTAGCACACCTGAACACACTGAACAGTCAACCTCAGTCCATCCTTCCCCTCCGCCCGCTGCTCTCCTCCAGCCTTCCTCCTCTTCTGTCTATACTCTCTCTCTCTCCCTCTCTCTCTCTCGCTCTCTCTCTCTCTCCTGTCTCTCTCTCTCTCTCTCTCTCTATCTCTCTATCTCTCTCTTTCTTCTTTCTTCTTTCTCTCTTACCCCATCTCTTACTATTTAGCCAATTGTCTCATACTCTGTCATACTCTCGCTCTCTCTGCACATTCTCTCACTGCTCTCTCCTCTTGCTTTATGTTGGCCTTATACTGCTGTTGTGGGTTTCTGTATAGCGCTGTTTTTCTCAGAAGAGTATTGTTCTTTTTTGGTTCTATATATCTTTATATAAGTGATGTAAGGAATTAAATAAATTATATATTCAGTAACCTTTTCAGTGGATAAGTTTACCCCGTTCTACCCTACCTCACCAGCCCAACATACCCCCTTCTCCCCTACCTCACCAGCCCAACATACCCCCTTCTCCCCTACCTCACCAGCCCAACTTACCCCCTTCTCCCCTACCTCACCAGCCCAACATACCCCCTTCTCTCCTACCTCACCAGCCCAACATACCCCCTTCTCCCCGACCTCACCAGCCCAACTTACCCCCTTCTCCCCGACCTCACCAGCCCAACTTACCCCCTTCTCTCCTACCTCACCAGCCCAACTTACCCCCTTCTCCCCTACCTCACCAGCCCAACATACCCCCTTCTCCCCTACCTCACCAGCCCAACTTACCCCCTTCTCCCCTACCTCACCAGCCCAACATACCCCCGTCTCTCCTACCTCACCAGCCCAACATACCCCCTTCTCCCCTACCTCACCAGCCCAACTTCTCCCCGACCTCACCAGCCCAACTTACCCCCTTCTCCCCGACCTCACCAGCCCAACTTACCCCCTTCTCCCCCACCCCAACTTACTCAACTTACCGCATTTTCTCCTACCCCGCTATGCCAATTTACACCAATCTCCCCTACGCCACCACCCCAACTAATCCTGTCCTAGCCCACCCTTGCCACCCCACCTTACCCTGTTCTCCCAGTGCCATGCGATCCCACTCTCCCCATATTGTACTTCTGTTTTTCGGTGACAGCTGTGCAGAACGTACCAGAATAAGTAGTTAAAAAGTGCACAATGATTGCATAATGTCTACTGTAAATTTGATTTAATCGTTATTTTTTTGTTGTTTTAAAAAAAAATCTATAAAAACAGAGAAAAAAATCTATAAAAATTGGTCCTGTGTCTGTGTTGTAATTATTTGAACAGATCCGGAGGATTTGGATGTGGAGTGGAATGTATTTATTTTATCAATTTAACTTCAATCTAATCTCTGTAAATACACACGAGGTGAATCACAGGATGTATATCGTAGTTTGCACAACACATTCTTCCTTCTATCCCATGGAATTAAATAGAATATTGTGTATTATATATTTCTATGTTCTACCCCTTCTAGAATATTGTGTATTATATATTTATATGTTCTACCCCTTTTAGAATATTGTGTATTATATAGTTCTATGTTCTACCCCTTCTAGAATCCTAAAGTGAGTCATCTGTCAACATCTCGGCATCACTGGACAGTTGTAATGACTTTGTACCCTTCCGAGTCGCGTGTGTGTGTAATTGTAGTATTATACTTGTGAGGACCAGAAGTCTGCACAAGAATAGTAAACCAAGGAAAATGTGGATAAGTGAGGACATTTCGCCGGTTCTCCCTTATAAAAAGGCTGTTTTAGGCTTAGGGGTTAGGGTTAGGTTCGGGGTTAGGGAAAATTTGATTTTGAATGGCAATCAGTTGTTGGTCCCAAATAATTCCTCACAAGTATAGTAATACCCCTCTGTGTGTCTCGGTGTGTGTGTGTGTGTGTGTGTGTGTGTGTGTGTGTGTGTGTGGGGGGGGGGACAGCTGAGCACATCACACACCCTGTACAGCTGACTGGTAGAAATGAGAACCCTGCGCCTCCAGGTCTTCCCAGTTTAGTGACAAGTTTAGAGGTTAATCATCAAATCAAATTGTATTTGTCACATGCGCCGAATACAACAGCTGTAGACCTTACCGTGAAATGCTTACTTACAAGCACTTAACCAACGATGCGCTTTTAAGAAAGAATACCAAAAAAAATACAAAATAAAATAATACGAAATAAAAGTAACAAGTAATTAAAGAGCAGCAGTAAAAATATCAATAGCGAGGCTATATACAGGGGGGTACCGGTACCGAGTCAATATGCGGGGGCACCGGTTAGTCGAGGTAATATGTACATGTAGGTAGAGTTATTAAAGTGACTATGCATAGATAATAAACAGAGAGTAGCAGCAGCGTAAAAGAGAGGGCAATGCAAATAGTCTGGGTAGCCAATCGATTAAATAATAATAATATGCCATTTAGCAGAGGCTTTTATCCAAAGCGACTTACAGTCATGTGTGCATACATTTTTACGTATGGGTGGTCCCGGGGATCGAACCCACTACCCTGGCGTTACAAGCGGCATGCTCTACCAATTGAGCTACAGAGGACCACCTAGATTAGATGTTCAGGAGTCTTATGGCTTGGGGATAGAAGCTGTTTAGAAGCCTCTTGGACCTAGACTTGGCGCTCCGGTACCGCTTGCCGTGCGGTAGCAGAGAGAACAGTCTATGACTAGGGTGGCTGGAGTCTTTGACAATTTTTAGGGCCTTCCTCTGACACCGCCTGGTATAGAGGTCCTGGATGGCAGGAAGCTTGGCCCCAGTGATTTACTGGGCCGTACGCACTACCCTCTGTAGTGCCTTGCGGTCGAAGGCTGAGCAGTTGCCATACCAGGCAGTGATGCAACCAGTCAGGATGCTCTCGATGGTGCAGCTGTAGGACCTTTTGAGGATCTGAGGACCCATACCAAATATTTTAAGTCTCCTTAGGGGGAATTGGTTTTGTCGTGCCCTCTTCACGACTGTCTTGGTGTGCTTGGACCATGTTAGTTTGTTGGTGATGTGGACACCAAGGAACTTGAAGCTCTCAACCAGCTCCACTACAGCCCTGTCGATGAGAATGGGGGCATGCTCGGTCCTCTTCTTTTTCCTGTAGTTCACAATCATCTCCTTTGTCTTGATCACGTTGAGGGAGAGGTTGTTGTCCTGGCACCACATGGCCAGGTCTCTGACCTCCTCCCTATAGGCTGTCTCGTCGTTGTCGGTGATCAGGCCTACCACTGTTGTGTCATCGGCAAACTTAATGATGGTGTTCGATCTTAGTCCTGTATTGACGTTTTGCCTGTTTGATGGTTCGTCAGAGGGTATAGCGGGATTTCTTATAAGCTTCCGGGTTAGAGTCCCGCTCCTTGAAAGCGCAGCTCTACCCTTTAGCTCAGTGCGGATGTTTCCTGTAATCCATGGCTTCTGGTTGGGGTATGTACGTACGGTCACTGTGGGGACGACATCATCGATGCACTTATTGATGAAGCCAGTGACTGATGTGGTGTTCTCCTCAATGCCATCGGAAGAATCCCGGAGCATATTCCAGTCTGTGCTAGCAAAACAGTCCTGTAGCTTAGCATCTGCTTCATCTGACCACTTTTTTATTGTCAAGTCACTGGTGCTTCCTGCTTTAGTTTTTGCTTGTAAGCAGGAATCAGGAGGATAGAATGATGGTCAGATTTGCCAAATGGAGGGAGAGGGAGAGCTTTGTATGTGTCTCTGTGTGTGGAGTAAAGGTGGTCTAGAGTTTTTTTCCCTCTGGTTGCACATTTAACATGCTGGTAGAAATGAGGTAAAACGGATTTAAGTTTCCCTGCATTAAAGTCCCCGGCCACTAGGAGCGCCGCCTCTGGATGAGCGTTTTCCTGTTTGCTTATGGCCGTACATAGTTCATTGAGTGCGGTCTTAGTGCCAGCATCGGTTTGTGGTGGTAAATAGACAGCTACGAAGAATATAGATGAAAACTCTCTTGGTAGATAGTGTGGTCTAGAGCTTATCATGAGATACTCTACCTCAGGCGAGCAAACCTCAAGATTCCTTAGATATCGTGCACCAGCTGTTGTTTACAAATATACATAGACCGCCACCCCTCGTCTTACCAGAGGCTGCTGTTCTATCCTGCCGATACAGTGTATAACCCGCCAGCTGTATGTTATTAATGTCTTTGTTCAGCCACGAAACATAAGATATTACAGTTTTCAATGTCCCGTTGGTCGGATATACGTGCTTGTAGTTCATCCACTTTATTATCAAGCGATTGTACGTTGGCCAATAGTATCGATGGCAAAGGCAGATTAGCCACTCGTCGCCGGCTCCTTACCAAGCACCCCGATCTCCTTCTGCAATATCTCCTTTTCTTTCTACTGTGAATGACGGGGATGAGGGCCCTGTCGGGTGTCTGGAGCAAATCCCTCTCGTTCGACTCGTATGAACACACCCATCACACTGTCTGTTCAGCCTTAATATCAAAGCAAACCATCTCTCTCTTCACACACACTGTTGTTATTCATGTTAGCTGGCATAGGTGTGCCAATATCGGCGAATTACAGCAAGGCTTCGAACACTGCTTGTCCAATCAGCATCCAAACAACCCGTTTTATAATCATAATCCTGATTTAGATTTATACTGAACAAAAATATAAACTCAACATGTAACAATTTCAAAGATTTTAATGAGTTACAGTTCGTATGAGGAAACCAGTCAATTGAAATAAATTAATTAGGCCCTAATCTATGGATTCACATGACTGGGTCACAGATACCTTTAAAAAAATGGGCCTCACAATGGGCCTTAGGATCTCATCACAGTATTTCTGTGCATTCAAATTGCCATCAATAAAATGTAATTGTGTTCGTTGTCCATAGCATATGCCTGCCCGTACCATAACCCCACCACCACCATGGGGCACTCTGTTCACAACGTTGACATCAGCAAACCGCTTGCCCACACGATGCCATACACGTGGTCTGCGGTTGTGAGGCCTGTTAGACGTACTGCCAAATTCCCTAAAACGATGTTGGAGGCGGCTTATGGCAGAGAAATTAACATTCAATTATCTGGCAACAGCTCTGGTGGACATTCCAGCAGTCAGCATGCCAATTGCACGCTCCCTCAAAAACGCACATTTTAGAGTGGCCTTTTATTGTCCCCAGCACAAGGTGCACCTGTGTTTAATCAGCTTCTTGATATACCACACCTGTCAAGTGGATGGATTATCTTGGCAAAGGAGAAATGCGCACTAACAGGGATGTAAACAAATTTGTGCACATTTGAGAGAAATAAGCTTTTTGTCCATATGGAACATTTCTGGGATATTTTATTTCAGCTCATGAAACACGGGACCAACACTTGACATGTTGCATTTATATTTTTGTTCAGTGTAGCATCGTAATACGTTGAAGAATGGACACAGATCTATTCTATGACCAACTAATTTAAAAAGTGAATTTCTAATCTATTACATTGTTGACCATCTTGTGATTCACAAGTCCAGTGTTGAGTGTTTGAATTAGGCCTATTTCTTCACCCAGGGCTTTCTTTTAGCCTCCCATGGTAAACATAGTTAATACATCAAATCAAATCTCTCGTACGCACCGGCCCCATCGTACGCACCGGCCCCATCCTCACACAACAAGTGAGATTGATAGAACCATCTCTGAAGAGTACAAAGTCATTATAGCTGTCCAGTAATGTTGTGATGCTGACATTTTACATTTACATTTTTTAGTCATTTAGCAGACGCTCTTATACTTGTGATGAGAACACACACACATACAGACACACACTACGAGACACGCACACACACACACACACAGACACACACACACACACACCCCCCCCCCCCCCCCCCCCCCCCCCCCCCCCCCCCCCCCCACCACAGTGACAGGGTTGGGTTGTAGCATCACTCAATCTCCCATTTGGACCGTTGACTATGAGTGTGTCTCAAATGGCACCCTATTTAATGCACTACTTTTGACCAGGGGCCATAGGGCTTTGGTCAAAAGTAGTGCACTACGTAGAGAATAGGTAGCTCTTCGTGAAGTTGACTATGCCAAGACCCAAAGGACCAGGGGATTCAACTGGAACGTATGTACAGCGCCCACCAAGCTGCCCAAGGCTGTGTAGAACCGAGCTTGGCTTGGGTGGAGTGGGCCTCTCTGACCGGTTGAGGACCTCTTCGGCTGGTGAGGAACGTTGAGGCACGGTGAGTTCAA